AGCAGGCCGACCAGGCAGGCCAGTGACAGGCCCTGAACAAAATCCAACTGCACCAAAAAAGTGGCATTCAACCACAACAAGCAAATTCGAAGCCCTACAACAAATACCACTTCGCTAAAATCACCAGCCCGACCGAGCAGGCCAGTGACAGGCCCTGAAACAAATCCAACTTCACCAAAAAACGGCAGCCACAGACAGCAAGCAAAAAACAATAATCTCTATACTGAAAAACATCACGAAAAGCAGCAGGCCGACCAAGCAGGCCAGTGACAGGCCCTGAAGAAAAACCCAACTGAGAAACAAAGCGGCAGCCACAAAGAAACCCAATGGAAACAAAACACTTCACGAAAAGCAGCAGGCAGACCAAGCAAGCCAGTGACAGGCCTTGAAAAGAACCAACTGCACAACAACCAAAAAAAACGGCAGCCACACAGAACAAGCAAACTAGAAGCCCTTCGGAAAAATATTGCTTCACGAAAAGCAGCAGCCGGACCAAGCAGGCCAGCGACAGGCCCTGAAGAAAAGCAACTGCGCCAAGAAAGCGACATCCACACAGCCCTACTACAAACATCCCACTTCAAGAGAATCAGCAGCCCGACCAAGCAGGCCAGTGACAGGCCTAGAAAAAATCCAACTGCGCAAAAAGAATGGCAGCCACACACAACAAACAAAATAGAGTTTCCCAGACGCTCCCAACTCATGTTTCGGGCCCTTGGGCCCTCGCGGGCCCTCGCGGTTGTAGGAGGTTTCGGGCTGGTTTTTTGTTGGACCTTTGGGCTGCAAACAAGCTTCGGATTACCATCGGATAACCGTCGGATAACCGTCGGATGGCCGTCGGATAGCCGTCGGAGAACTGTCGGATGGCCGTCGGATAGCCGTCGGATGACCGTCGGATGACCGTCGGATAATTGGGCCTGGGCCCCCAAAACTGAGTGTCTACGAGGGCCCGGCGTCGGATAACCGTCGGATAGTAATGCTAGGGGAGGTGTGATTCGAGGCCATTTTGGTTCCATCCATCCCGTCCGGATTGCACTGGGGGCCCACGAGGGCCCCGTATCCGACAAACAGGCCGGTCACTCCCTTAGGAGGGCCCCAGACCCTATTAGGAGGGCCCACGAGCCTCTGGGTGGGTTGAATTTTAGACTTTCACTGTTTGGATTCCCCTCATGTATATATATATATATATGTCCTTGTAACCAGCAGAAAGTTTAACTTTTTGCTGGGGGATCTACAGCACCCAAGTAAAGGGCTACTTTGCTGGGCGCAGGCCTTCAGAAAAGCTGGCGCAGATGTGGCGCAATCATCGGCTGACATGTGGCAGCAGGGCACCGAGGCTGGATCGAAAGCGAAACGTTGCTCCAGAATCGTGAGTTTCGCGCGACTTGGCACGGAAAGGGCTATCAAAAGCGCGCACACACACACACTCACTCACACCCTCCCACCCACCCACCCACCCACCCACCCACCCACCCACCCACCCACCCACCCACCCACCCACCCACCCACCCACCCACCCCACCCACCCCACCCCACGCACGCACGCACGCACGCACGCACGCACGCACGCACCACACCCACACCCACACCCACACCCACACCCACACCCACACCCACACCCACACCCACACCCACACCCACACACACACACACACACACACACACACACACACACACACACACACACACACACACACACACACACACACACACACACACACACACACACACACACACACACACACACACACACACACACACACACACACACACACACACACACACACACACACACACACACACACGCAGGGCCCATAGCGGCGCGACGTGTTTTGGCCGTTTTTGTTTGTTTTTGTTTTTTTGATTTTTTTTTGTTTTTTTTTTGTTTTTTTTCCCGGTGAGGTGGCGCGGGCCAACTGGCAGCACGGGGCAGAGGCGTGCCAGCGAGGTCTCTCCGAGGCGTCCACAGCCTGGCGCGGGGCTGCGCCCTATGTGGACAAGGCGCGGTTTCGGGCGCGTGGGGGGCGCAAATGGGTCTGTCGTTTTTGTTGAGTTGGCGCCCTATTTTTGCGGAAAAAGACGCAACCAAGAGGAGAACCCACATTTTGGCGGGGTCCAAAATTTTCATCCAAATAGAGTTGCATAGGCAAATATGGCAGTTGAAAATGAGCTTCCGCTCCATGGAGGGGCCAGGTCTGGGTGATTCCTTTGTGCGGATTGGTTTAGAGGGAAAGTCGGGAGACCGTGAGCAGTTTGCCTCGATTTTGGGCAAGCCCAAGTTGAAAGCTTGCCGCAGGCCATTCTGCTGGTCAACGTGACGATGGCCATAACCATCGGAGGCGATACAGAAAATGCAAACTGCTTACAGATGAGAATCAAAACCCGGGTGGATGAAGGTCAGGGTGCAGTCCCAACGCTAACAAGGTGCGTCACGGGTCTCTTGTTCGTTCTTTTTCGTGTTTGGACCCCTTCAATAACATTACTTGTGACAACAGTGTTTGGTCGGACATGCCGGACCAAACATTTAAAGGAACGGCGTTGGATGGTTCAGGCAGGCTGTTTCGAGACTTCTCCAGGTTTCATCATCCTTGGCATCATGCTGGTTTGCATGCCGCTGATGCCCGAGCGAGCTCACCATGGCGCATTTGATCGCATGTTCTGGGTGACACAGGCCAGCCGTGAACCAGTTTTTGCTCCGAGGTATAGACAACCGGGTTCCAGGTTACAGCCCACCTTCGGACAGGTTGTGAGTGATGATGGGAATTCGATGCCTGCCAAGCCAAATGCAACTCCAATGACGCTGGTTGCAGGTATTGTCTTGTTTAGTTTGTTGAATCAACACACGCACTTGAATAGCGAGCATCGAGTGCCACTCCGACTTGATGGGATCCAGAGATGCTTGGCTTTTGAGCAAAATTGGACTCTGCGTAGACCTTCAGGGCTTGTACCTCATTGCTTTCAGCGTGCCGGCACTGGTCGCCACAGTTCAGCTTCTCGGCTGTAGGGTCGGAAGAGCATTAAATTAAGGACGTTGCGAAGCGCCAAAAATGGCCGAGGTGTGGGATCCTCCGCAACGGCTTTGAAAACTGGCCCAGCTGGATGCGGGCGGAACTTTGGCTCGGGATCCTGCAGCTTGGCCGGGGCTCCTTAAACGAAACATTTTGCAACCATTTGGCCGTGGGTCAAAAATAGGTGCTCAAAATGGAAGCCTTGTAAAGGGAGCCAAGGACTAAAACCTGCATAACCCCTCCTGTTTAATTAGGTGTATAATGCATCCGGATCCCTGTTGGCGGTTCAGTCCAAGACCGGCTAGCTTCGCAGGGACACTAGGCGCAGGAACACGGGACAACTTGCCTGTTTCCAGTTGAGTCATATTGCGCACGATGTGCTTGCGAAATCGTTGACGGTGATGCGCAGCTGGCGAAAGAGGTTAGGTAAGCAAGAACATACAAGAACCCAATGCCACATTTGGAAGGGCCTAGCAGTTTCCGGTGTTTCTAATATGTGTACAACAAACCTGCGCAAAGTTGCGCGCAGGCGCACCGGGATTCGGGGCTTGTCCTGTAAACAAGCAGGAGAACAACCGTGGATCATGTTGACAACAGATTAGGCGAAAAAAACAACAAGCGAGATGGGCCCAGACAGATACGTGGTTTAGTAATAAGTCTCGCCACATCCTCAGGAACTTCCGCTCACTGTGACCACAAACCTGAATGGGGAGGGGGGGAAGTTGAAAGGACGGGCATCTCATTTTGGGCAGCAGCCAGGACGACAGAAGGCACGGATTCCGAAGAAACTGTCGGGAGCCGCTTGTGTCCAAGGAAGTTCCAACTGGGGCGAGCCGTCTTCTTTGTTGGAGCACCTGCCCTGCACTAAATTGTCATGATGCCGCTTGTGTGTGTGTGTGTGACGGTGTGTGTTTCTGCATGACGGATTTATTCCTGACTGAATCCGCGAGCGGGTGTCATGTTACTTCGTACGGCTGCATCGGTGTTTCCAGTTGGCCCTGAGATGTGCAAATCGGTGTATCTTTTTGCAGGCAGCCTTTCTGGCTGGTTTCAAGTTGACCCCAAAGGGACACTTTCTTGGTGTGCTCACCCATTTGGAGACCTGCCCAGGCGGGTTTCTATGTGTTCCCACTCATGGACAATTTCGGTCTCATGGCCAAAGTCGAGCTGTGGGCAGTATGTTTGTCCTACCTGCTAGGCCAGGCTCGCGCTTTTGCCTGGCCACATGCATGAACATGGGTGTGCTTAAAACAGGGGAGCCACTCAAAGCTCAAAGTTGTGTTTGTTCCTTTTCTGAGGCTTGACTCCAACAAGGGTATCCTCAAAAAGGCACCCACATGATGCAACCCTGCTGCAACCCGCTTCCCTGGAATCATATCTCTCATGAACGGTAGGTCATTTTTTTTTTAATATTTTTTGTTTATTTTATTTTATTTTTTAATGACAAGCAAGCGTTAGCGCGTGCGTCATTTGCAGACAGCGGAAAGTTGCGATGGGCAGGCATCGTATCCCTTTTATCCGGCTCCTTCTTGCTCATCTTCGATGTTGTGCTGTCGGTGCAGCTGGGCGCATTGGACAGCCCAATCGAGGCATCAAGAAAAGGAATGCTTAGATGGTCTTGGAGTTAGCTAAATGACTAGCAGCCCTGGTTGTAACCCACTTACAATGGTTGTAAGTCCCCTGTAACTAGGCTAGGGTTACCAACCATTTAGCTAAGTCCCAGACCATCTAAGTACTCCGGGCCGGGCCAGCGAAGGTACGTTCATCAAGCAATGTACGACAAGGTCGAAGAGCGCGACCGATAGCCTGTGTCAAAAAAATAGCTCTGCACACCGGATGACTCAGTGATGTGTTGTTATGACGCGCTTCTGGCATCGTGATTTCTTGCTTTGACGTTTGAGTGCTTCCGTAGCGTGAGGCGTGATGTGTCAGACCCAAAGCCACCCGAAGTGATCAGAAGCTCCCTCCTTGCGGTGGATTTCAGTGTGAGCTGAGGTGTGCTTTCCTTTTCGAAGCTTTTCAGGACGGCCTCAGGTGCGGGATGCGAAGTGAACTTCTGGGTGCCAGAAATGGACGGATTTTTTTGTTGGTCGATTGGGAATACCCTCAATTTTGGACCAGGCTGGGAGGCTGGGGGGGGGTGGTGGACAAGAATCCTTTTTGCGGGGTCAGGTAGGGTATTGTTTCTAGGATTTGGACCCTAGAAAAGGGTGGTGTTGCTCTTGGTTTCCCTTTAACACAAGAAGAGGTACCCCCAAGAAACGACAGACCCAGGTAAATGTCCAAATGGTTCATGGCCAAGCTTGGTCGCGCAGCTATTTGGCTTTAGACATGAGGATTGGCAGAATGCTATAGCAAATGGCAAGCATTCGGCCTGAGCAGGACAGCAGCGTCCCAAGAAAATCCCTATCGCGTATGTGAAGTTCAGTCAGAATATCCTCCAGGGTTCGTTTCGAGACATGGGACTCACTACCCAAATTCCTGACCCAAGAGTTTGCCCAGGCGGAGGTTGATCAATATTCCTGGCCCCCCACTGACCAAGGGTGACTTTTCCCATTTAGTGGGCAAATATAATCCTTTGAGTGGTTCGCAATGGTCGTCCCATGTTCGTGGGGCCTTTTGATCAACCCCCATGTCCTGTTGCCCTCAGGATCCTGATGGATTTTAGCTTACCCTAGGGATTCTGATGGATTTTGGCATCAACCCCCCCAAGTCCTAGAAGCCGACCAAATCTGGTTTCACAGCTCATGGATCCCGAAGCTCCGGATGCTCTCGGCGCTCGCGGCAGCGCTGCCACGGAGCCGGCGCCGCGGCTGGGCTCCTTCGAAGTGTCCAACCAAGGCACGCGACCGACGATCTGTGGCTTGGACCCCCAATTTCTCTTTGAGCCTCGCAAAAGAAACAAAGTAAAAGAAAACCAAAAAAACAGGGGGATGATAACTATTTTCCTTCGGATTAGTTAAGTCCGCCCGAATCCCAGTGCTGCTCTTTGGACCAGTTTTGGTGTTCAATGAGTCATCGTCTCCACACTTGCGTATCAATCAGCCAGGCAGTGGCGCTTCAAGAAGCTCCTTCTTCGTTGCGCATCTTGAAAGCCTCCATGCCAAGCGGCTGCAAGCAGCCGTCAAGGCGCGGATACCGTAGGCATCCTTTCGATGGATCTCAATCGAAAGGATGCCGAGTCGACGGAGCATGCTTTTGAACAATTTCTGTACGTCGGTCAAGGCAGATCGGTTTCCAACTCTACGGCTCTGCTTGTTCGACCCCTGTTTCTGGGGCCATGAAGGAGGCAACATGTGGTGACAGGCGTGCATTTCAGCATCGTTGGAATTTCTGGCGTTTGGATTTTGGAAGACTTTGGACCCAAGTGGTTGAGGGACCTCAACCTCTGGCGGAGTTTGGATCTTTGGAGAAAACAAATGGCCCCAAACATTTTAATAGGGCTTCCACCTCAGAAGTGATTGGTGGACAGGAACATTTCCACCCAAATGATGTCCACCAAAGGGTCCCTGGTTAAAGAATTCATGGCCAAATGGACCCCAACTAAAAGTGGTCGAGCCACCGAAAGCTTCGGAGGCCTTCCAGAGGGCTCAAGCGAAGCTGGCAGACTCCGAGCGGTTCCACACCACCGCAGCTCGCATAAAAATTCGGGGAAGGCGTGAGGTCGGAAGTGGGATGTGAGGGTTTCTCCAAGTCCCCCAAAATGCTTCGAACTTCGAAGCCATCTTCCTTGTGGCACTCGCCCCTTTTGGCAACCAAGGGGGTTCGCCATGTTGAGAAACACTTCCGGGGGGACAGCCCAAGGTCCCGGAAAGACATGGGAGAATATGAGCTTTCCCCCATGTCCGCGGGAAACAAGTGGTTTTTGGTTCATTCGCATGCCATGGAAACTACAAAGCTGCATGGGCCATTGAGCTGTGCAGGCAGCCTACCCTTTGCGGCATTTGTGGCATCCGCCACGGCTGCGAAAGGGCATCGACTGCGAGGACGCGGAACTGAAGGTCAGTTGCGGACAGACCCAGCTCATATTTCAACTCGGTCCGGATATCCGGCATGTTGATTCTTCACCTGGTTTTGGGATGTTTTGGGTACCATTTGAATGCCAAGGTTTGAGTACTTGAAGATTTGTTTCACTCGGGTCGCATGTCATGTTAGGAGCAGATGGAGATCCATGAGCAACCTGTCAAGCATTATGCTTGCAAGTTGAGCAGCGCCCAAAGTCCATGCCCTTTGGCCATTTTATACTTGGTTCGAGAGAGATTACAGTACGGCCTTGTTTAAGCTGCCATATGTACCAGAACCAAAGACCCAAAAGTCAATGGGTCTTGGGCATTGCTTGAATGGATTGTGCCATGTTGGACCAAGTAAAATGTGTTGTCTCAATCCGAGGCACTGGATTGAGTTGCTGCACAGCTGCAAGAGTTCAGCGAGCACAGCGGCAGTCAGAGGTGTGTGTGTGTGTGTGTAAGGCAATGTAATGTATTGGCCTACATGATCGGTTTTATCATGGGAAAACTGGGCAACTGTCGAAAGCTGTTGGACATTGAAAAGAAAACAGGTGTAGATTATGTCTACCAAGGCGTCCCCAAATAAGAGTTCATACATGCTTGTGCAAGGTTCAACGATTTGATCATGGTTGCAATGCTATCCAACCTCAGTCACTTGTTTGAAGTCGGTGGCTGGAGTGCATCACGGCTGCAAGGCAGACAAAGACAGCAACTTGTGGGAGGCTGATTCCAATGAATCGCAGTCATCCATTTCCATGCGTAAGCTGGCTGAGGTAGTGAATCATGCCTTTACCATCGTTCTTTGGTTTCTCACACTGCAGTCGCTTCATTTTGTGTCTTACGTGTGCGCCTTAGATCTCTTCAGCTGATATTTGCTTGAGCAAGATCGTGCCTTCACGAACGAGACCTATGTTTGCAAGCTTATTTGAGACCTGCATAGGTTGTCAACATGTGGACGATGGATGACTTTGTGAGCCTTCTGGCGTGTTTTTGCATCACATTGGGTTCAGTACTGATGGCATCCTCAGTGTGGGCCTTATCGCATTTGTCAGCAGAGTGATTTTCATTGTGACTGGTTCCGCGGATATGCAGACACTTTCCTAGTGTCAGGTGAGGTCAGATGTGCATCCACCTTGTGTAGCTCTGTGGTATGATGACCCGCATTATGTGCAGAGGCGAGCAATATCTTCCGAAACAGGTCCAACATGTGTGCACACAGCCCAATTTCATGTGCCAGGCATAGGACCTGCCTTTTTGCCGCCAGGTTCAACTATGGAGTGCTTTGTAGCAAAACTGGTCAACTAGCAGCAAACTCAGAGACCCTTGGTGCACTTAGCCAACGGCCCGAGAACTGCCTGACTTCTAGGCAATTCTGCTGCAAGCGGCGTTCTTCGAGCCCCGTTCCCGTACACATGTGGTAGTCAAGCTGCATTGGCGCAAGTGGGTCAGATTCGGGCACCCGCGGGCCCTTGTGTGCTACCTGAGGCCGTGCTTTCATCCGGAAGCCTGTGTGAGCTGATTTTGCTACTGTGCTCTGGGCTGGATTAGACAATCGAACCTCAGTATCCAAGAATGTTTTTGCTGGAAGGCTGGTTCCTGGATCAACGTGGCTGAGCGGCATATTATGGCTATAAATGTCAATAGGGAAGCCCTTTAAACAACGGGTTGGTGGACACGAATATTCAAATAATAGTGTCCACCATTGAGTCCCCAAGGAAGCGCATACCCATAATATGGCAAGATCTTGACGGCTGCTGCCACTCCAAGGAAGTATCTTGTGATGGGCATGGTGAGCGCTCGGCGCCGAGCAAGAACACCGCTTGGTTTTTGAACCCCAGCGCCGTCGCGCGAGCGAGCAAAGGCCTCGCCAGAAAAAAGACACCCGGCGAGTTGAAATTCAGGCGGGCACCTATGTATTTTGCTGGAAGTACACCGACATCTTGGAGATGATGGATTTGCATCATTTCCGCTCGCGGATGGATCTCATGGTTTTGGTCTCACTTGGAGGCTTGGCAAAAGCTCCCGAAGTGGGCCGCCTGCTCAAAACCGATTCGGGTAGATGAAGGTTAGCAAGGGGCAGGCCCAGCCAGAAATAGTTGCGGATATCCGCCTTCTTAATTCTTTACATGGTTCTGGGCCGTCCATTTTAATACCAGGTTTTGATTGTGACTCAAGTGCTTGCAGTCCCACTTTCGCGAAGAGAGATGTCGTGACCATGTTTGATCCACCCGAGGAGAATGGGTGATCACCACAATCATCCGAGATATGGATGTATCACTCCTAGTGGCTGGTTTTGCATTAACTGCCAAGTCGCACTGCCGTAGAGCTGGTCACTATAACCACAACTTCACGGTTCTTGGCCAGTTTTTTTTGTTTTTGGTTCTGTTTATTTTTGGTAGGGGTCTTAAAAAACCAAACATGCAACCATACCAAGGTTTGTGAAGAACAGGTACAACTGGTGTCCATCTTTTGCGCCAGGTGGCACAAACCGGCCTGGACTTGATGCTGGCTCCGCACTTACTCGGGGGGGGGGGGGATTGGCCTCGGAAAGAGACGATGGACAGCGAGTCACGCGAGGCCGCGGAGTATTTCAACACCAGACATCATGGAGCCTTATCTGCGTTTCTGACAGGCAATACCGGGCATGTTGACGTGCACATGGGTCTTTCCCATTGGTGTTGGAGCCCTCTTCCATCTTGCTGGGTTTTGACTGGGGGTACAGGGTTTCGACCCGGCCATATTTTGACTGGTGCGAGCGGAGTTTTGACATCAGGACACGACGCAGCGTCCACGGAGAGGCGGGGCTTTGCAGCTTCAAGCGCAGTGCAAGAGATTGACGCAAGGCACCTGTCCGCAACAAAGGGGCGGTGTGTTCCAAATTTGCTGTGAAGCCAAAAGTAGCCCATCCTCCGAAAATGATCAAACATAAGTTGTTGATGTCCAGCGAACTGCTCATTTATGTGTTTTTTGGCAGAGAGTCGTTTTGCCTCAGGACGTCAGTGCGAACTCCCTTGGTGTTGCTGGAGCTGGAGTCTCTGGAGCTGATATTGCAGTATGGCATTGCCGCTTGGAAGCCGATCTGCCCGATGGCCTGACGATGTAGAAGCATAAGTCGCCCCGTTGTATTTGTTTACGCAATGTCAGGGATGATCCCAATTTGTTGACCCCAGTATCGGGGTTCAACCTATATTCGAGGGGATCCCCCATTTTTTTGGAGAAGCACACCCTAACGGCCTGTAATCCGTGTTGCAAGAGTTTGTTTCCCATCATGAAATGAGGTGTTCTTTGGATGGTTCGAAATACTTCAAAGGGCATTTGTACCAAGTTTGGGATACCCCTACTTTTTGGAACCCAGCATGTCAATGCGCATCAGAACTGGTTGCTATCCCGGTTGAGGCAATATGCTTGTTCTTGCTTCCAGCGACCTGCGGTGTTGGCATTGACTTTGACCGTGGTTATGACGACCATGGAGCTGCTCATTCGTCTTGCCGGACCGATGCGGGATGGAGTCGACCGGCGACCTGCTTAGTGTCACAAGTCACTGACACCAGCCACGCAGTCCCGCTGGAAGTTGTCCAGAAGCGATGGGAAAGGCCACCCCCATGAGGTTTGTAGGTTGGAACCCTTCCAAAATTGGACCTGAACTGCAAATCTGTCCTTCCCGAGGTCTTGCGGATGCACTCTGGTGTTATGCTTTGTACTGCAAGATGCCCGGCAGCAAAGGCCGTCAGCAAAGTGCTGTTCAGAAAGGCTCATGGCGATGTGTGACATTTATGGCTGGGATTTTCCCTTACTACCCTTCAATTACGCGGCTTTTGATCGTGATGCCCAAAAACTCAATGGCGCATTGGGTTTTAAGAACATCACACACACACACACACACACACAACTTGTGGAACATATAAACAGTGTCCGTCGTTTAATGGTGCAACATTGTGCGGCCGCCCGCCTTTTCAATTCAGTCCATCGTTCTGGTATTTCAACCATGTTAGTACTGGGTAGACCGATTGTGACTCTGAGGATTGCTCCTTCTCACTTTGCGTCACATCCGGAAATGCAAAATCGCAGAGCTTCCTCGCCCTGGCAAGAAGCGTCCCGGCAGTCCTTTCAGCCCAATCGGCGTGTGTCGTTCAGCTCAGGTTCTACACGCGAGCCTTGCCGAGATGGTGTGTCTTGTTTGGGGGGAGAACCCAACCCGTTGGTTGGTTTTAAAGGGAAACCAACAGGACACTAACTATAGGCGTTCCCTCATTTTGAGACAAACCAGTTTGCTTTGGCATTGGGTGAGGTCGCGCAACTCACTCGAGATTCCTCTCTCTTTCGCTAATTTACTTTCAGGGAGCTGAGCATTTCGCCAAGCTGGGCAGTTTGCCAAGCTCGGATCTTGTGAGATCTTGCTGTATTCCCAGCGACCATCTCAGAATCAGTGCCTTGCTGCCCGTATTGCGAGCACTTCAACTTAGGGTTCTTCCTTTGCTTCGTGCATGTGCTGATTCCCTTGGCTGCGATTTATGGCTGGGGCCGCCTGGCTAAAGAGCATTGAGTGCACCGTGATTGTGATAGCTTGTGCCCTGTGTATACTTACGGGCGCGTCTAGGGGACCCACAAAATTGCTGGTTTCCTTGGCTTCCTTTTAAACCTACCCCAGAAAGTGTAGCACCCAAAAAACAACAGCACCCATATATTATGTGAAACAAAAAGTCAGGGTGTTCCTTTAGATGTTCGCGCAAAAGCGCGAAGCCCCAAGCGGCAGAGTGTCGCGAGGCCTCACGCCTAACGATCATATGGGGCCGTTGTTCGCTCTGCACGCAGCGGCTTGGCTATGCGGTGCCATGGCCCACGCCTTGGTGTTGGATAGAAATCCGGGGTGTTCTCAAGATCAACTCGTACGTGCTTTTCACCTCGAGATTGAATTTGTACCTTAAAAGGACATGGCAGAAAACATGGGAGCCCGCAATCTCTCACAGTGGGAATGTGGGAATCAAAGTGTTGACACAGTGAGAATCATGAAGCGCAGGCCTAAGGCAAGAGCACGAATGTCAATGAAATGCATGCCGCCCCTCTTAATGCCTTGCCGAGTTTGTGGTTTTCATAGATGTGGCTGCGGAGCTATCACTACATCAACTGGCGGCCGACAGCTCAGCTTGAGCCAAGCGACTGCTTTCTAGGCGCAATGTGACCGAGGCCAGACGCGCCGCTTGCCACGCAGAGGAGCCCTGAACACATATTGTCTCTTCAGCACCTGGAGGAGTTTGTTTCTTTCTCTCTCTCTCTCTCTCTCTCTCTCTCTCTCTCTCTTTCCCTCTCTCCTTTTTCTTTCTGTGTGTCTCTCAAATTGCCAAGCTGACTGAAACCCATCTGAGGTTCGTCGGCTTCGCGGAACAGTGGCTCGCCTTACGACATAATCGATTGAGAACGGCAGTTCTGAAGCGGCACTCGCTGTGCGAACGGCCAACGGATGAGTGCTGCGACATGCTGCTGATTGCTTTGGAGCTTTGGAGCGCGGATAAAACGTGGCTTTTGGCATGCTGGAAGGATCTGTGAGATTTCAGCATTCGGTATTGGACCAGTTGTCTGGGGCTATGACTTGTGACCGGGGGCTGTGCCAAGGGTTTGAAGAGGCATGTGCCAGGGTAGTTCTTCCTTCGCTTGAGTTCTGTGGGTTCCACTGGGGCCAACAGCTCCGGCAGGGAGATAGCTGCATGCTGGTCAACTCTTCCTTGCCTGCCTGCTGGGATCTTACATTCTGCACAGCTGTCAAACGTCTTTGTTCCCATTCTTCCAATAGTCTCACCAGATCAAGCAAGAAGAAATGCATTGCATTTGACCCACAAGCTGAGGTCAGAATGCAACATGCGTGCAGGCAGCTCCCACGGATGTAGCCTGTGCCCAAGATGATGAGCGAGCAGAGCTGGTCACCCTTGGTGTCAGGGGCCTTTTTGAGAGCGTGTTGCCTGCTGCGCGTGCCCTGCGTGGCTCGGTTGGTCACCGCCGTTTTGGAGTGTGAGTGTATTTGTGCGTGCCCGGCGTGACCAGTTGAGGTTGCGAACAAAAAACAACTTGATTCAAACTAAGTATTCGGAGATTCCTTGTGTTCAAATCTGGCACGTCTCAGTGTCCTAGGGAGTTACAAAGTCGATAACGATCGTTTGTGCGCTTGCAAAAGCACAGCTTGTGGGCAGCAACCAGGCCAGACTTGGTAGCTGACCAAAAATGATAAAGAACGACAATACAAACGATGGCGTTTTAAACAGATAAATTGTGTTTTGCTGCCAAAGCGTACTTCGCGCAATGCACTTGTACTGAAACGTTGAAATTTTCGAGCTGAAGCTGCCAAATCAAAGTTTATTTTGTGTGCTACACTTGTACTGAAGGTTAGGTTACGATTTCGAGGGAAAGTAGTACAGAAGCACAAAACACTGAACAACGATGAGGAGTCAAAAAAGCGAGAACCCAAAAAAGTAGCTCCAAAAACCTCGGTTGGTCACCATTGTTTTGGAGTGTATTTTTTGCGAGCTGCGCGTGCCGTGCATGATCCACCGTGACTTAGTTGGTCACCACTGTTTCGGAATGCATTTTTGGCGAGCCGCGCGTGCCGTGCAAGATCCACCATTGTTTTGGAGTGCATTTTTTGAGAGCTGCGAGTACCGCGCGTGACTCAGTTGGTCACCATTGTTTTGGAGTCCATTTTGTTTTCAGAGCTGCGCGTGCCGTGCGTGACTTAGTTGGTCACCATTGTTTTGGAGTGCATGTTTTGCGAGATGCGCGTGCTGTGCGTGACTCAGTCAGTCGGTCACCATTGTTTCGGAGTGTCCCCAAACGCCTGGAGTGCCTTTTGTGCGGTCTCCGGACTGAAGATAATAAGGAGCAGGGGTCCTTGAAAGGAAGCGACTCGCAAAGAAGCGACTCGGTCCGCGCTTTTTTGAGCTCAGGATGCGACTGACTGGCTGGTGAAAGATGTGTCTTATGTGCTGGAGTTCCGCCTGCAGAACCCCAGCACCTGCGAGATTTGCCAGCCCCCATGGCAGGCGATGGGGCCCATGGCCGGCGAGTCCTGAGTCATAAGAGCCCAGGTCTTCCTACTGCAAGATGGGGTTCTGTGGCCGCGGACTCAGCCATCGTAGGTTTTTTAGAGGTTGGCCACGGCTTAGGTCAGCCGAGTCGGAAGGATTCCCACTGGTGGGCGATGTGCATCCGGCTGGTTGGACCCGCGCAGATGCGAGCGGCGCTCATGCACTGCCATGGTGCGTGGCAGGTGCAGGCGTTCACTGTGGAACCGCAGTGACCTGAGTTGACGCAGCCGCCGTACCTGCCGACGTTTTGTGCCCCAACTAGGGAGCCTAGGAAGCCCAAGAAGGGACTATGAAATTCAGAGCCGTGCGAATTGACCGTGCCACGCCGACCGCACAAAAACGCGCCGGTGAAGTAAATCCGCGGCTGAGCCCATGGTGTCGTATCTGTTCAAAACAAAGCAAGAAGCATAACCTGCCGTCTAACTAAAGTAAGGAGAGAGTGTCACCCACATCCAAAGGCTCATTTTTCTGCAGGATGCAAAGCTTGGCTCAACTTGAGGTCTCATCTTTTGGGAGATTCGGAAGTCCTGCTCACTTTGCGCGTGGCTTTCGTCTGGGTCCCAGCTGCGCCCAGCTGCGAAGTTGCCTCAGCCCACACGTTCAGGCGTTCCAAGACTGGTTCAGAGACATAGTGTGTCTTTTCTTTGGGGATCTTTGGGTTGACCAATGGGGACCACCCCATATTTGTCCTGGTGGTTTCCCATTCAACAAGTAAAAAGGGCACCCTCAAGAAAGACCCGCCCATATGGCTGGGGGAACGGTCCATGGGAGTGATACCGAAGAACGTCACCATTCTATCAGCCACTCGGTCTTTTTGTTGGCGCAATGGCTTCCCTTGTGGCTCTGAATCCACTAGCTGTTGGAGCAAAGGAGCTGGTATCCAAATTTGCTAAACCAGGGAGCCAAGGAGCTAGCAGGAGGTCTGTAAAGACATGGCAATCAACAAATGTAGCTTGGAGTCCAGTGTCAGAGAGACCTTGGCAGCTTAGGCTGGCCGGCTTTTGCTCTACGACAAGGTTGTGCTCACGGTGTCGCGCCCTCAGTTCGTGCTGACGGTGTGCCAATGTAATGTGGGTCGCCCAATCCCCATTGCAATATGTTTATATATATATATGTATATATACATTATATACATATATATATATATGTATACATGTATATATACACATACATGTGACATCCCAGCAGGGTACGAAAGGATGCCCGGTGTCTGGGCGCTGCGGCCGCGAAAGATTCGAGTGAGCGAAGCTTCTCGGAATTTGACTTACGAATCATAGAACGTGCCTAAAGTAGTTTTTGGGCTTGCAGGACAAAGGAGTGTTGGTGTTGGCCCAACTTTGCTGAAACACGGAAAAGCGATACATCTTACTCCCAAGGCGAAACTCTTGCGGTCGGGTTGGGACCATCAGCGCACTACACTGACAATTTGTCATGAAGCTAAAGCTGGCCAAATGGTTCCCAAACATCCAGTTCCTCAGCTTAGCTTTTCGTCGGTTCAGTGATCGGGGTTCCGTTTCTTACCCACGTAAAGTGATTCACCTTTCGCAGGGCATCAGATCTGAGGACAGCACGGCATGGTGGAAGGTTGGGGATTAGGGAGCAGTTGTGGAAAGTTAAGGTTTCCGCTGCGGGAATTCGCTTGCGGCCCACTTTGGTATCACAAGGCTGTCCGATGGAAACACCTGTGTCACAATCAAAACCCGGGTAGATGATTGTTAGTAAGGGACAATCCCAACCATAAAGAGCCGCGGCCGCCTTCTTAATTCTTTACATGGTTCTGGGTCGCCAATTTTCATTCCAGGTGTTGATTGTGACTCACCTGGGGCCAATTGAGGGACATCCTCTTGACAGCTGTCACGTGAGGCCTCAGGGCTGGCAGCTGGATCCGTCCTTCTGCTCGTCGCCAGTGGCACAGGTCCAAAGGGCGAGTCCCGAAACGACGTCAGCCGAAAAAGTGGCTGTGGGTCAAATCCAATGGTACCATTTTTGGCGGACTGGTGCACCACCCATTTTAGTCTATTTGAGTGGGGATTCCCGAATTTCTAGCTGGGTTCCTGTGAAAAATTGGGGACGCACCAAACAGTTGCCTTCCTTTTGGTTTCCCCTCAAGCCAACCCAGAAAGGATTCCCTCAACAAAAACACACCTACATGCCACACTTGTCGTTTTAGAGTTGGCCAGGCGGCTCTCACGGGATTGAAGGCACCGCCGCAGTGCACACAGCAGCAGGCGATACTCACAGCGGCTTGGCTTCGATTGGCCAGACATGGATCAGTCTCGTTTGTTTTTGTTACTCTTCTTGTTGCTTTTGTTGTTTGTTGTTGTTGTTGTTGTTGTTGTTGTTGTTGTTGTTGTTGTTGTTGTTGTTGTGGTGGTGGTGGTGGTGGTCGGCTTTGCCCGTTGCCGGTGCTGTTGCCGTTGCGGTTGCTGTTGCTGTGCTGCTGATGCTGATGCTGTTATGCTGCTGCTGCTGCTGCTGCTGCTGCTGCTGCTGCTGCTGCTGCTGCTGACAAGTCACAGTCACACTTTGCGTGATTTGACATGGCTGCTTGGATGAGGTTTACGAGATGGCGCTTGCCCTAGCGGCGCAAAGACGACGTGCCATTGGTGTCATGCTTGTAGAGGCGAGATTCGAGCCTGTTTAAGTCGAGGACTTGCCACCACTTACTCGCCCTGAAATACAGCTTAGCCACTGCCTCAGATACATTATCGTATGGGTCAAAATTAAACCACCAGGGGACACAGTTTTAGTCATTGTTTCCATTTACCAGGGTGCCGTTTGGGTATTTCTGACCCACAGCTAACTGTTTAGAGGTACCCTGATCCGGTCAAATGCCAACTCAGGACTGGAAGGAGCTGCCCCAGTGTTTACCAGCTGGCAGGAACAGAGGACACAATGGCTCAGCCTCCCCAACACGGAGGCGCGGAGCGCCGCGCATTCCATGCAATCCTTGCTTTCAGAGGAACCCAACCGGCTTTGGGAAGCTAAATGTCGAGAAAGACCTCTTCGAGCCGGTTAAGATTTGAGGGGCTTCCCTTGGTTTTGGGAAGCCATAAGAACACCCAGAAAGTGCTCAGGTGGAAGTTATCTCTAGTTAAGTGTCACCTCCATCCCACCTCTTTTTGCCGCCCGTCCAACTTGGGTGTCCAAACCTGCGATCCCAAGGCTTCCTCGCTGCACGGAGCTCGGCGACTGGCTGACTGGCTGACTGGGGGGGAGGTGGGACGGCTTCGGATCGGAGGCCTGTGGAGTTCAGTGTGGAGGTTCAAAGAGGCAGGGGACGAGTTGTTTTTCCAAAACGAGAAAGGGATCACAGAGGGTCCATGTTAGGGGGCAAACTCCTAGATGGGCAGTCAAAATAAGACGAGTTGTTTTTGTTTCCGAGAACGGGTGTGTCATGTCTTCCATTGGCTAGAGCGAGGGGTAAATGAACCAACAAAAAGGCAGCCTCAAGTTTGATCAGCTGTTTGGAGGAAAACGACCCTCGGTTTCATCTAAGACAAACTGGACTTGTTTCTTGCAGAGTTGTACGCCACGTCGAATCTGGTACTTCAAACGAGCTGGTCTCACGGAAGGCCACGTGTAGGTTAGGCCTCGGGCAGGTTCGCCTATGTTATTTTTCCTCCAGCCGTAGAAACTCTCGCATCAGTCTTGCATGTCTCCGTGACGATGTGACATCTTCGCTTCTGCCCCTTGCGAAATGAGCTCTGCGAAGATGTCAAGGGGCAGAAGCTGTCCACCGTCAGAGTCCGGCATGCGGCTGCCGAACAGTAGAGCCTCAAGCAGAAAATGAGGGACACTGCTTTTCGATCAAATCCTGTCCAGCGGTCTCCTGGCCGGCCTTTTCCTGTCGGGTTTTGATCCTCGCCCTTGCTCCCGCCCGCGGAGAATTTGTCAGCCGACTCACCAAGCTACCAAGAAACGTAGGTCCAAAATTTGCAGCGCAAGCTCGCGTAGGCGCCCCTTGATGCTTTTACGTGCCAGTGAGGCCCTTTGTAAACCAAGCTTTGAAGCCATGTTGATAGAACAAAACGTCCCATTTAAGTGGTTTCGGGGCTGCTTATGGCTTATGCAGACATGATGAGTCTTTAATTTCATTTGCTGATGCAGGTTCTTCACAAGCCACTGTCGCTGCAGGCAAGCTGCAGGCTCACGGGTACACAGAGCATGAGATTTACTATCCTGTACTGCATGCATGACCACATGTGCATGTGTGTGTGTGTGCCAGATGGTAGCTCAGCCTGACAGGCATATGACGTCATGCCCAACATGGCACCGCGGTGTGACTTGTCTATCTCCACTGTCAGCCACCTAGGCAGTGCCGGCAGTGCCAGCTTGAGACAGCTTGCCCAGTGAATGACTCGAGGCTTTGCTGGCGTCTTCGGCTGCCATGCGATTGTCGTTTCGGCCTTCCGAGAGTGCGCCCAAATTTGGATTGGATCGCGGGTACCTGGGCAGGGATGCAAGCATGCGCAATCAAGCCCAAACCCAAACCCCAACTCAAGCCCAACCAACCAAACCCAAACCCAAACCAACCAACCAAACCCAAACCCCAACTCAAACCCAACTCAAACCCAACTCAAACCCAACCAACCAAACCCAAACCCCAACTCAAACCCAACCAACCAAACCCAAACCCCAACTCAAACCCAACCAAACCACAGCACACTGCAGGTATCGATGCCTATGTCAACAGTGTTTGGATCCGGCCGCCGCCCCAGGTCTGAAATCCTCGTTGCATGTCCTGCGCCTGGTGCCCCTTGTTGAATCAAATGTAAATGGCTCCGGGGGCACGTTGTTGTGCGTTGCCAATCCCAATCTCAAACTCACCTTCGGAAACTGGGGCGTATGAATTAGACACGGGTGACACCCATGCTAACTCAGAGTCTGGAACATTTGACAGGTCATCCCTGCCATATGACTTCCAGGGCTGCTCTTTGCTTTGGGAGGCCGGGGCAAGAAGAAGACAAAACAAACGCGCGCGCGCGCGCGCGAAACCGCTGACTCCAAGCGGCAAGGAGCCGGCTGCGAGGAAGGCGTTGAGGCCAGAGGACCGGAACGTAGCTCGGGGGCCAGGTGGGTGGTTCTGTTCTGAGGTTGGACCCCGAAATGATTGGTCTCCTTTTGGTGTCCCTTTCCAACCCCAACAAAGGTACCCTCAAACAAAGAGTCAATCTCCAGGTCCAGCTGGCGATATCGGAAACGTCTCAAGAAACACCGGATGAAGAATTTGAGGCTACCAGCCAGAGGGGCTTACTAGCTCGCTGTCCCTCTGGGGGTTTTCCTGGTGCAACACATCGGCGCAGGACTCAGCCTTTGCTTTTGCTGGAGAGCCACGTTGCAGTGGGCAGTGGGTGCCTGAGCGGCTCAGTGCAACAGTGTTTCCAGGGGTTGATTCCCCATTCTTTTCAGCCATCGTTTTTTTCAAAATTCAGCTGTTTCTCCAGGGTTTTAGGTGGTTGTGTAGAAAGAAGGATGCTTGGAAAGAATGGGGAAGGTACCCCTAGAGTGTCGGTTCCAAGCGCATGATGATGTGCATCTTCCAAAATTGGGTCTCCTTTTTGATGGCAAGGGGAATGAAAAGGACCGCCCGGTTTGAGAAAGTTGCACATGCGCAAGGTTGAATGAGTTGACACTCTTTGGGGTCTTGTCAGCCGCTCAGTACTGGCAGCTCGGAACAAGACGCATCGTTCGATCCTTGCGGCGCTGAGGCTAGATACCTCGATCAAGGATCAAGTCACTTTGTGCGTGGCCAACTTCACCGTGTCCTGTGCTCAAACGTCAGCTTGGCCAGAAAAAATGGTTTTGGAGATCCGGGCTTTCAATTCTGTGACATAGTTTTGGGCCCGTAGAAAGGTTTTGACGGGCGCAGCAATCTCAGGCCCCGACCACCCTATGCGGCCAAAGAGAGTCGGTGGCAGGCCAATGGCCAGGGAGAAGGGGGGCCGGGGCCTTCAGGGAGTAAGCGATTTGTTTGGAGGCACTGTTGAAAAGGGTATCTTCTGTCTTACGGTATCATTGCTCATTCCTTATGCTTGACTGTTTAAGAGTTTGGCAGAGGGAGCCAGAAAGCCAAGCACCAGCCTGAAGAGGAAGTCAAGCCAGAGGTTTGGGCAGGGGAGGTTCCTGCAGGCCAGCTGCCAGCTGCGTTTGTTTCTGCGTGTGTTCTCACAGACCTCACATTGACACGAATTTGACGAACGCCGAAGTTGCGGCGCCTCAAAGCGGTGAAGTTGCGGCGCAGGTGGCTTTGCAACGATCTCGTAGCGGTCTGGCCCCAGACATTTTGGACTACGCCATCGGCTTGCCGGGGTGAGGGGTCCCAGAGTCGCGAGGTCAAGGCAGAAGTCGTATGGGTGCTTCTCTTTTAATCACCTCTTGGTTCCCTCAGAAATCCAAGGAAAACGGGGGGCTCACCACTTTGAGGAGGTTCTTCTTGGTTGGATTGGAGACCTCGCGATGGCAAAATCCCCAAATGGGTGTGTTTTGCTTTAGGGGACGCCAAGAAAGGGTAACCTGAAACGAACACCCACATGGCTGTGGGTCAAAAATGCATACCCAAAATGGCACCCTGATAAATGGAACCAAAGACTAAAACCTGGTGTTTTCTGGTGGGTTTATTTTGACCCATACCCACCAAATCACGGTCCAACAAGTTGACCGAAGCTTGCACGCGAAGGCCTGGAGCAGTTGGTGGCATCCAGATCGACGCCTCTGCCTCAGGCGTTCGCAGCTCGTGCGTTGCGAAGTCGCGCCGAACTTGCGGAAAATTCAGGGCCGTAGCATGGGGGATCGATTGCTTTGTTGGTTTAGGCTGTGATTTTAGATTGGAACAACTGCCAACAAATAGCGTTTTGGAAAGCATGTTGTTGTAATTATACCTGCGTGACACACTCATGCTCTTAGTGACTTGTTTTTGTTTGTCTGTCTTTCTGCTTGCCTTTACCTTTCTCTGTCTCTTCCTCTTGTCCCTCTCACGGTCTCCTGTCTGTCTTTGCCTCTATCTTTGTCTGGGCCTTTGTGGGCTGTGTTTCTGCTCCTAGCTTCTTTTTGGGACCTCCAAGCCTCTTTGGAAGCGCCAGTCCGCTCGCTCTCGCCGAATTTCTGCTGACAGACCCCCCATGGATTGCGCGTGGCGCACTGCGGCGGCGCGGTGCGAATTTGACTTCAGCCGGATCAACCTTTTGGGTGGATTGCGCCAAGGGCTGCGGCGCTGTACAAAACCGTGGTATGCCGGACCAAGCCTCCGAGTCGGATCGCTCCGATGGCGTCGGGCCTATGGAGTCCTATGCCGGATCAACACAATTGCAACTTTCGGGGATGTGACTCCCTCGCGCCGACACAACGCATAGGCGCAGTTGGATCGGCGAAAAGTTGATGTGGCATTACACGGCAAGTGCCACCTTGGTCATAGATGCATTCGTGGGAGATGGCAAGATGTTCTCAGTGCGCACGAGCTTGAGAAGAAGACCCTACGGAAGAAGGCACAACTTCGGGTGAGCTGCACTGGTGTTCAACGGAAGGAAGAAGAGCAGAACACGTCCTTCAGGGCTCGACAGTAGCAGCATTCACATAACACAATTGAGCAGCTATGAAGACCTCCCTTACATCCCAAGCAGGAGTTGTGTCATACCAAGGCCACGCGTAAGCAAAACCCTGCACGGTGAAAGCCGGTGTAAGCACTTTTTGGGGAAACATGCTGCGCAAGCACCCGATTAAGCTCTTCTTCGTGATTGCTGGGTCAGCTTTGTAAGCATGCTCGGAAGAGTTGTTTCACGCATTTGATGATGTATTTATTGCTGGCTTGTGCTGTTTCAACCTAGTCGAGCGTGGCAACTTGCCCGGATACGTTGGCTGCACAGGAAGACGTCCAAGACCGCATGTGCGCACTGTTAGAAAGCAAAGCCAGCAGAAGTTGGATTGGGAGCTCTTGGGGCTCATGCCAGGTGCTATTGAAATCTTTACTAGGATAAACAAAGCTTCTGACTGAATCCGCGGATTTGGGAAAACCAAAGGGGCTCAGGCGCGGAAGCTCGCGGAAGCAGGCGCGTAAGGTTCGCGGCGTAGGGTTCGCGCAAGCTCGCCTAGCTTGGCTGCCCACTAGCACTCGCCATAGATGCCGCCCTTTCATGTTCTTCCTCAGAGTCATCCGCGTTATCTTGAGCAGTTCTGGCGGCCGCGCGGGAAAAGGAGCCCGCGTAAGCAATTCTTAATGGGAAACGCTCAAAAGGCCGACGCGTAAGCGAAGCGTAAGCTTAGCATGCTCGCTGACTGCCGCGCAAGCTAAAATATGGGTCACGCAAGGAAAGCGCAAGCTCGCGCCTGATACGACACAGGGGTTCATGGCAGGTTTATAGTGTCGCTCAATTGGCAGATCTGACCGATACATGGCAAGCTAGACGCACCTGATTAGTGCCGATGACAAACAAATTGCGCATGTGACACACGATGGTTCATATTTGTGTTCTTGGGACTTCCGGGGAAGGCCGCCGAAACTCATCTCAGCACTGAACATGTTACATGCACACAGCCAAGCGATCAGCACGATGAACGTATCTTTGATTCTCGTATTGTCTGGCTGTGGCATTGGTGCGAACATGGGCCGTCAATAAGCGCAGCATCAGAGCACAGCACAGACAAAACGGTTTGCTATTGGCAATATCCCTCCCTAGCAAATTGGGAAGTGTTTCAGATCCTTCTTATGTTGATGATTGACTTGGCCCATATTTGAGGATTTGTTTCCCGTGCCGCTCGCAAGGCATGTTTCTGTTCATGAGATTGGGTGGTTGGTATTCAAACATACATTTGTTCAAATGTCCAGTGCGCGGTGGCGGTTGCGGGGGGGGGGGGTGGGCTGCTGCAAACCGCGTCCCTAGGCAGAGACCTTTGTCAGCAACTTGCAGGCAGGTGGTCTGAACACGTCAGAAGCTGAGACCAGCATCTCCGTGCCCGAGACCGTTTCTGGCCGTCAGAGGCTTCACTTCAAGCTGATGGTCACCGTGCCCCTGCTCCAAGACAGCGTCATTCGGGCAAGGGTCCAAGCATTTGCATTCGATGGAAGCCTGCCAACACGTGTGCGAAGTGCCATCAATTCCAGAGAGGGAGAGAGAGAAAGACAGAAGGACAGAAAGACAGAAAGACAGAAAAGAAAGAAACAACGAAAGAAAGAGAGGGAGGAGAGAGGGAGAGAAAGAAAGAGAGAAAGAAAGAGACAAACTGAGAAAGACAGGACAGACATGCACGGTCTTCGTCGTGCGCCCCGAGGTAATTTTGCCACCAGGATTCGTCACAGAGCAAACTAACTTCTTCCAAGGGGTCTGCAGCTCAGATAGCTGCTGGCATCTCTTCTTCCTCCAGAAGAGAAGCAACATCTTTCTTTGGGCTCTATTCAGACTCTCAGAGCCTTGCTCATGTTACAGCGCCCCAGCATCCAGGTGTCCAGACACTTTGCAGCCATTGCAGCCGCCAGTGCGCCGAGCTCAAGCTGTTCGTCTCATCTCGCTGGTGTCGCTTCCGTGTGCTGCTGGTGTGCTGAGTTTTCCCCGCCTTTTCCTTACGTCAGTCATAGAGTGACCGTGATGTCCTGCCGCAAGTTGTGGCTTTCAACCCGTGGTCCGCGCCGCTCCGAGGCAGTGTTGCGCACAAACGTCGACATGCTGAGAGCTTACCTGGAACTTGTCACTGCAAATTCCGGATATGGGTATTTCTCAAAATTGGGGACCCCCTGCAGGTAGGTGGTTCCTTGTGGTTTCCTTTTAAAACCAGCCAAACAAGCTCTATTTGGAGACACCCCCATGTGAGCAAGTTGTGCACAGCACTCAGCTGACAAAGCCTTTGAGGACAGAAATTCATGGCAGCTCTGCTCCAGCCGGCATGGCGGCCTTGATGCGGTTAGTGATATGGCTGCGGGTCAAAACCAATGGTACCATTTTGGTTGGTAGGTGAATTCACCGCCCATTTAGTCTATGTTAGTGGGGATTGAGATGTTCACTGGGGGTACGATTTGGATTTTGACCCATGGCCATATGTTTAACGCGTGTCCATCGTTAAAAAAGTACGACTTTTTAGTGGGTCCCCAATACCGAATACTGGCTTCCCCTTGTTGGACAGGAAAATGTCCTCCTTGGCACACGTGGCTTTTCTTTGCTAGGGAAGGCTTCATGGGGACGCGTTGGTGCACATCATTTACATGGGGAGTTTCCACTAGCCATTCCTGGGTTACAAAACATATATATATATATGGTCACCCCCCCCCCCAGGGCCTACCTTTCTACTTTTTGCATGAAAGAGATTTTCTTGCAGATGTTCAGTGTCCACTTGGTTTGCAGATGCCTTGCAGAAAGCACTGTAATTTACGGTGTTTTTGTGCAATTTTTGATATTGTCTCAGATGTGCTTTCTGTACTTGATGCAAAACAGGATTCGAGAAAGCAACAAACACGAAAACGGAAAGCGTTTTCAGATGCAACTTTGTCAGTTGTGAAATCACTGTTATTTGCAGTGTGTTTAAAGGAAACTGCAAAACAACACCTTTTTTTTTAACGTTTTTTGATGGTTTCAGCCTCAAAACCTGCACAGGCTCAAAAAAATGCAAAACATCCAAACCTGGACGCTCCAAAACCTGCACAGGCTCAACAAAATGCAAAAAATGCAAAACCCAGATGCAAGTCAGAGGTCAGGGCTTGATTGGTCTGGATTTTTGCATTTTTTGCATTTGTTTGAGCCTGTGCAGGTTTTGGAGCCTTCGGTGCTTAAAACCTGCACAGGCTCAAAAAAATGCAAAAAATCCAAACCTGGAAGCTCCAAAACCTGCACAGGCTCAAAAAATGCAAAAAATGCAAAACCCAGATGCAAGTCAGAGGTCAGGGCTTGATTGGTCTGGATTTTTGCAGTTTTTGCATTTTTTTGAGCCTGTGCAGGTTTTGAGGCTTCCTGGTTTGGATTTTTTGCATTTTTTTGAGCCTGTGCAGGTTTTGGAGCCTTGGGTGCTTAAAACCTGCACAGGCTCAAAAAAATGCAAAAAATCCAAACCTGGACGCTCCAAAACCTGCACAGGCTCAACAAAATGCAAAAAATGCAAAACCCAGATGCAAGTCAGAGGTCAGGGCTTGATTGGTCTGGATTTTTGCATATTTTGCATTTGTTTGAGCCTGTGCAGGTTTTGGAGCCTTCGGTGCTTAAAACCTGCACAGGCTCAAAAAATGCAAAACATCCAAACCTGGAAGCTCCAAAACCTGCACAGGCTCAAAAAAATGCAAAAAATGCAAAACCCAGATGCAAGTCAGAGGTCAGGGCTTGATTGGTCTGGATTTTTGCAGTTTTTGCATTTTTTTGAGCCTGTGCAGGTTTTGAGGCTTCCTGGTTTGGATTTTTTGCATTTTTTTGAGCCCGTGCAGGTTTTGGAGCCTTGGGTGCTTAAAACCTGCACAGGCTCAAAAAATGCAAAAAAAATCCAAACCTGGAAGCTCCAAAACCTGCACAGGCTCAAAACAATGCAAAAAATGCAAAACCCAGATGCAAGTCAGAGGTCAGGGCTTGATTGGTCTGGATTTTTGCAGTTTTTGCATTTTTTTGAGCCTGTGGCCAGCTTTGATGCCATTGAGAAACCAAGCCATTGAGGTAATGAGTGCTCTACTGATAAATCAGATGCTTACAGGACAGCCTTTGATATCACAGTGCAGCAGTGATGACACACACACACACACAATCATCAACCTTTTAGGACCACATGCCCAAACCACATCAAACAAGGCCCCAAATGAGTGTCTTTTTCTTCCCAAACAATAGTTTCCACTTGCTACGCAATAAGCCTACAGAAGGTTTATAATCTTTCAGAAAAGTTTATAAACCTTATTGAGTGTTTGACGAGTTTCCCGCATCAAGGCAACAACACCCTACGAAGTGTTCATGGTATCGTTGAAGGAGGGGGGGGGGTGGTTGGTTGGAAGTCTTAGCAGTGAGGTGTGACTCAGCCAACTTTGTAAAGACTTCTCAGTACCCCCCCCCCCCTCCCCCCCCTGCCCTTGTTGCAAGGAAACCGTCAAACCCTTGACATGGTTTATAAACTGTCTTGAAAGTTTATAAACTCTTTGCTGTTGTTACTCAACATGACTTGTCACCCACAAACAAATATGCAGCAACAGCACACTTCTTGCGTATATATGCTCACACCCCCTGTCCTTAAAATAAGAGGGTTTTGTACATTTTGAAGTGGAAAGGTAGGCCCTGGGGGGGGGGGGGGTGAGCATATATATATATATATAGATACATGCACATATACATCAGCGCTGCGCTGAGTCTGGATGCGAGAAGGGCGGCTGTGTGTGTGTGTGTGTGTGTGTGTGTGTGTGTGTGTGTGTGTGTGTGTGTGTGTGTGTGTGTGTGTGTGTGTGTGTGTGTGTGTGTGTGTGTGTGTGTGTGTGTGTGTTTGTGTGTTTGTGTGTTTGTGTGTTTGTGTGTTTGTGTGTTTGTGTGTTTGTGTGTTTGTGTGTTTGTGTGTTTGTGTGTTTGTGTGTTTGTGTGTTTGTGTGTTTGTGTGTTTGTGTGTTTGTGTGTTTGTGTGTTTGTGTGTTTGTGTGTTTGTGTGTTTGTGTGTTTGTGTGTTTGTGTGTTTGTGTGTTTGTGTGTTTGTGTGTTTGTGTGTTTGTGTGTTTGTGTGTTTGTGTGTTTGTGTGTTTGTGTGTTTGTGTGTTTGTGTGTTTGTGTGTTTGTGTGTTTGTGTGTTTGTGTGTTTGTGTGTGTGTGTGTGTAGTTGTTTGGTCATGCCATACACGTTTGCCCGGCATGAAGGTCAGGACCAACTATTGTGCATTCCGGGATAAGCATACTGCAGCTGGCGGAAGGAGTTTGAACTGTTGGTGATTTGTCTCTTTGGTCCGTCTCTTTTTCTGCACACAGTCAACGCGAGATTGCATTGGTCGCAGGCGAGAACGAGAGAGAGAGAGAGAGAGAGAAAGAGAGAGAGAGAGAGACAGAGAGAGAAAGAGAGAGAGACACAGAGAGAGGGAGAGAGACACAGAGAGAGTGAGCGAGAGGGAGAGAGGCAGAAGAGAGGGAGAGAGGGAGAGGAGGGAGAGAGGGAGAGAGGGAGAGGGAGAGAGGGACAGGGAAGCAGAGAGATGTGCTTGGTTCACTCTGCGGCTACCTGCTCAAAGGTTGAGATCCTCATGCTGCGCGTTTTGGTTGCGTGGTTCTCGGAGAATCCAACAGACTGCAGCAGCCAGCGGTGTGTTCCAGAAATTCCTCATTCGAAAGTTACCCGAAGTCCGAAATGACCAGGTTGCATTTGGAAGGGTCATGGGGTTGATTCCCAGGGATCGCTTGTTCGATCGCAAGGGAGCGACTTGAAATTTCAGGATTCGGTGGAGGGCGAGTCGTTGGACTTCAAGATCACCGTGCGGAACCCTGCTGAGGACCGGAACAAGCAAGCCGAAAACCGCCGGCTCTTGTGGGTCTCCCCCGATTTTGGGCGACACATTTTAGGGGAAAGTGACCAGTGACCAGGGCTTCAGCTGGACCTGAGCTGTCAGGAGTTGGTGGCCAGGTCTTACAACCGCCCCGGACCTGAGAGATCGATCCCCAAATGCTGTGGTTGTCAAAAACAGGGATCCCATTTTGGTTGCTAGGTGAATTCACCACCCATTTTAGTCTATTTTAGTGGGGATTGTGATGTTCATTGGGGCTACGATTTGGATTTTGACCCATGGCCAAATTGCGGGCAAGACAGCGCTCCGAGGCTGGTTGGTAGAGACGCTGGATGCATCGGCCCTAAAATGGTGGAGAGGGTGCGTGTTTTTTTTGGGGGAAACCCCCGAAACAAAAGGAAAGCCACCATTGCGGGGTGTTCGCGGAAGAACGACACACCCAAGTGTTTCCTTGTTTGGGACATGTTTCCCAAGCTCAACCATATTCTTTGGGAAAAAGTTTCCCCCAACTCAATCAACAAAAAGGTCCTTTTTCTCTTTTTATTTTTTTTTGGGGACAGTTTCTCTCAACTAAAACTCCTTTTGTTGGGGACAGTTTCCCCCAACTCAACCAACAAAGTGGTCCTTTTCTCCCCTTTTTTTTTTTGGGGGGGGGGGAACTTCCCCCCCACTCTGATTATCATGATCACTATGATGATCACCATGATCACTATGATGGTTTCCAAACCACCAGATGATGATCACTATGATGACCATGATGATGACTATTCGTTAAAAGAAGAAGAGACTCGCCCCTTTTGGGGGATCACTAGAGAAGCCACCATGATGATGATCACTATGATGACTACTTTTGGGGGAAGATGTTTTTCCAAAGAGCTTGGGTGTTTTGCTCCTGGGCTTTGCTGAGGCCACCTCCGGGCTGGTGGTGAACTCCAACCGCATGTCCGGAGCATGCGGAGTGCACCAGAACCTGTTTGGAGGTACCTCTTTTTGGGGTGGTTTTGTATGGGGAAAGAACACGGCGAAGGTACCAGATTTTATTATTATTATTATTATCATTATTATTATTATTATTATTATTATTATTATTATTACTATTATTATTATTAATTAAGGAGTAGAAAAAAGGACGAACCTGTTCGTGTGGGTGTGTGTTTTTAATGCAGAAAGAACCTAAGGGACGCCAAGACACCACTGGGAAGCCAATGGAACACCAACGGAAAGCGCCCGAGCATTGCTGGTCAGGTCCATTTTCTTGCCGGTACTCAGCAGGGAATGAGAAAGGGAATGACCCCCGACAAAAGCCACCCCCGATTTCCGATGTGGTTTCCTTTTTCAAGGCAATCCCCAAGCCGGTTCATTTCCAAGACCCGGACTCGGTCATTCGCTACTGAGCACCAGCAAGAAACGCAACGATGCCTTCCCACTGCTCGAGCTTGCAATGGACCGGTTTCGCCTGTTTAGCCAAGTCCAAGCAGTGTCCAAGCAGTGGAACTGGAACAGCACACATGACACACAGATTTGCGCAGTGCAACAAGACTGCCGGCTCAATGGGGCGGCGCCCTGCAAAGACTGACTGGCCAAAATCCTTTGTAGCGTTTATCGTTGTAACGCTTCTACCGCCCCGAAACAAAAAGAAGCAACACGCGCATGCCGGATGGCAAAAATGGGAAGGGTGATGACACAAGCGCTTCCGTGTCAGCCAAGCAGAAGAAGCTGGGCTTCACAGAAGTGGAGCAGGCACGCAATTTGCAATGGGCTAAATGGGAAAAGGTATTGTTCCTGCTCCTTCGACTGGGAGTCCTGTTCTTTGTGACTCGAGCATATGAAGGTGAGTAGGGGACGGCCCCAGATATTGAATCTTTACACTTTGAAAATTTTGTTTGTAAACCCTTGGGATTTGAAGCCCCGGCTTTAGAGGTATGGGAAACAAGCCAGAACTCAACAATCCAAACCGATTTGAGCCAGAGGGAAGCTGATGAGTACCGACTGTTCAGGCGCCGCAGTCCTCCAAAGAGCAGGAGGCACAATTTGGGTTTGTGGTTTTGAGGTGTTTTGAGGGAGTGGTTAAAAGGAACAACCCACAGGAGTCCCCCCATTGTTGTTGGGGGAGGGATCACCCTATGCTAAGACATTGCCAGTTTTGGAGGCCACCACTCGGTCCAGTGCGGCGGACAGGGCATTGGCAGCTGCAACTTCAGATGAGTCTCGCGCCGCCTGTGCAGCAACTCTGCTGCATTTGGTCAAGCGACTGAGACGAAGGGGGGGTTTCAAAAGTATGGCCCAGGTCCCAGCTTGTGCCGCCCTTTAAAAAACAGGGCGACCAAAAAGACGCCCCGATGTTCACCCAGCCCTGGCTCGAGAATCTCGCGCACTCGTTCAGGCCTACTTAGCCGCTTTTGGGCTGCTGGCAGATGGCAGCGCCTTGTGGAGCCCAAAGCACTTGGCCCGTGCGAAGTCGGAGGCTTGGGATGTGGGACCCATGGGCTTTTCCAAATCCAAATCGGTTAGCCCCCAGTGAACCTCCAATTCAATCCAACCACTAGAATGGGTAGACTAAGATGGGTAGTGCACCAAAAATAGGTTCTAAAATGGGTGGTGAATTCACCTACCAACCAAAATGGGATCCCAAAACCTTTTTGACCCAGCCATGTCCTTCCAGGCGCAGCCCATGTTGGAGATTGTGATCCGTGGTCACGAGGAGCCGATGGGAGCCGAGGGAAATCGGCAGGAAGGTGATGCCTTTTTTTTTTTGCTTGGATGGTCTGGGAGGAATCGCTAAAGGACTAGTAACCCTGGTTGTAAGCCACTTGCAACGGTTGTCTACTAGGGAAACCTAAGCATGTAGCGATTCGTCCCAGACCATCTAAGTGGGATCCGATCTAGCCAGAATGGAGTTGAGTCACATTTTGAAGTGTGGATGATTTGAGTCCATTGGTTTTAACCCGGGATCCATTGGTTTTTCATGGAAGCCTGCCCAAAGCCATAGGTCTTCTTTGGTTCAAAGAGCCTGGGCGGTTTTTTTGCTTCAGCCGGATGCAAGGAGCTTGGCTCCCATACCTGGTATGTCATGGATTGCGCAGTTTGGCGTGGCCTGGAAGCATTCAATCCGGGTTGAAGGTCGAGACAGTGATAACCAATCGGTTCGGCAAGTGGTCCCTTTGGTTCTTTTCCGTGGTTTCGGGCCCCCTCTTTATTTCTTTTTGCTAGTTCGTTTGGACCACAGCGGGTTTCTTACCGGAAGCGAGAAGGGAAGCAGACTGACCCCAAGCGAAGGCCCATGCCTCGAATTCGCGCGATCGGATGCCTGGCCGCACTGGACGTGGGACTGTGGGAATGAATGAACCTGGGGATTTCCCTAGGAGACGACCAGTTGGAGGGTTTATTCGGGTCATTCCCTCAGCATGCAGTTGGATGGTTTATATGGGGTCATTCCATTTCTCATTCCATGAGCATCTGCAAGTTTAACCGGTGTTTGTTTGTTTGGTTTGACTTGCCCAGAATTAGCTCCCTTTTTTGTTTTTGTTGCTTTTTTGGGGTCCCTTTGTTTTCCGCTAACCAGGCACAACATATTTTTGTTTGCTGGGGTCCTAATTCAAGCCTGGTTGCATGGTAGCTTCAGAACTTCAGGAGTGGCGCTGCTATCGGAGACTGGCTCATCTGCGCCAGGGTCTGCATGATCCCATCAAGGTCCGGGAGTGGGTTCGTGGAACTGAGCATTGTATCCTCTTTTGATATATCCCTCACCGATATACATATTACATTTTTATACATAACATGGTGCATACCCTGGTGAACACCTGCGTTTGTTTGCATCGCTGGATGGGCATCCGGGAACCAAAAAAATCTCTTGTTCTCGGCACTATTGGTGCGGAATAGGCCCAGGCTTGTCAAGTTGAATCCTTCGGGAATGGTCGCCCTTTCCAAACCTAGTACTCTCCAACAATTTTCGGACCTTCATGTCCTGACAATCCCCAACAATTTTCGGCAGGCGCAAGCCTTGTGCGTTGTTTGCCGCATGCTTCATCTCAAACGGCCCTACTGTGGATGGACAAAATCCTGTGCAAAATTTCGTCCACCCACAGGTGGCTGGACGAAATCCATTTCGCGCCACTTTGAAGCCATGGTTGAAACCATTGTTGGCATTTTCCGATTCCGGAATCGAATCAGAGAGCATGGCAAGCTACGGTGCCAGATTTCGTCCACTTCGAGAGGAGTTGCTGGGCACCGCCTACAGCAAGCACTTCGGGGACTCGCCCTTCGCCAGCCACGGGGCGCCTCTGGGAACCACGGCGCGGCTCCGCAGCTGGTGCCAGGGGCCTCGGGGCCTCGGGAATTCGAAATCGAACGCGGCGAAGCGCCTCGCGGGTGGCAAGTTTGGGGTCGCCAAATTTGGAGCCAATGGCGCATGTGCCGAATCCCAACACAGTTTACACAGCAATATATATATATATATATATATGTAATAGGTGTGTCTATGTTTATGTATATATATATAATATGCATACGCATTATGATTTGCTGTTTCTGGGGTATGGATGTTCCCAATGCAAGGGGGAAAACATATCCTTTACAAAGGCACAGATGATGCTGGGGCTGGTACCCTGTACGCCCCATCCGATAGAAATTGGGAAAGACAAAACACGCGAAGCATGTCGTCTTCTCGCATCCCCGCCACCGAGGTTTTTCGTCACTGTTGAATCCTTTCTGTTTTAATGAAGGTAGGAATGCAGCAGCATCCCCCGCATCACTAGCGGGGCCTCTGACATCCCGGGTATTTGGAGCCACGCCTGTTCGAACCGATGGTCTATTTGTTAAATTAGAAAATGAAGATGTGGTGGATAGGACGTGTTTATTTGTTATCAGTGTAGCAAATAGCAACATAGTCAGTTTAACAATTATAATGTTGAACATGCTTTAGTTCTAAATGTAACAATGAGTTTTCTTGCTGGTGCTCAGCAGGGAATGTGGGAATGAACTCAGGGATTCCTTCACGCGAATGCACAAGGGATGGTTTAGAAGGGTCATTCCATTTCTCATTCTGCCTGTGGCACCGGCAAGTTTGGTTGCCAGCCAATTCCCGTGCGCCTCTTTTGGCACTTGGAAGCCATACTGTGGATGAACAAAATCCTGCACCGCCTAAGAATCCCGGGAATGATGATTCTCCTGTAAATACCACCAAACTATGGTTTCCCATGATTTCAAAGTGGTGCAGGATTTCGTCCATCCACAGTAGGCATAGTGCCAAGGCCAGACCTTGTGTCGCTGCATCAACTGCTGCGATCTGCCCCCTGCCACGGCTGGAATCTGAGTCGCCCGTGTCAGGGCGCGGCGTGTCTTTTTTTTTAGACCCCCCACCCCCGGTTTTTGGTGGGCTTTCCTTTTGGGTTTCTCTCAAAAACCACAAAAAGGGGGACCCTCAAAAGATGTGAACGCGACAAAGATGGAACCAACCAACTGGATGTTGACGCATTTCATGAGAGCCACGTCCAAAACAGTTGTGTCATCTTGACCTGTGCATAAACAAAACCTCCACATGTGTCGCGTAAGGTGTGCATAAGCGGGGGCATGCACAAATGATGCGACGCTCATTTGAGGCTGCCATCGCCTTGCACTTGCTGGGAGCGCCTGTAAAGGCACGGATCGTTTTCTTTTATGCGCGACTACTGAGTTGTCATAGACACCATGAGGGTGTCGTGTGTTTCTTGTTTTCCGAAAAGCGACGCAGAGGACTCCGCGATGATCGCCTTGGCAAGGAGTTGTGAGGAGGACCTGGGATAAGCAGTCATTGGATCGTGCGTGAAGAGACGCGACATATCATAAGGCCCATTTCCTGTTGCTGCATGATTTGCTTTCCAGGACGATGCACGGGAGATGGATGACGATGTTATGCCCCAAGCGCTTGCCTGACTCAGGTGTGATCCAGATGCGCACATCGATTTGCAGCAGACCAGCGCGGAAAGCTGCAAATGTGACAAAAAGAGTCCGATGCGCCTCTTGGAATCGGTGATGTTGTGCTTGACGTTTCAGACTTAGGTCGTGGCTGAGTTTTGAGCATGGGCCTTGGACGCGTTTGTTTTTCTTCTTTTTTTTTCTCAGACACTTGGCACGCATTCGAAACACAACCCAGGCCTCGGCCTGGGTTCTTGGCTGCGCGGCCCTATCCGCAGGCGATGCGGCGACGCCTTTGGCTTTTCTTCGCGAGCGAGGCGCTCGGCTTGCCGAAACGGTCCAGGACTCCCTGCTGGCCGGCGCGGCCACGTTGGTGATCCTCTCCTTGCGGGTTTCAGCACGAGCCACTCGCCTCGGGCGCCGGTCTGCTGACTCGCCGGTTTTTATGTGCGGCGGAAAGGCTTGATAGGGAAGCTAAGCCGCAAGCCTTAATGTGTGCTGCTGCCCGAAATGTAGGCTGATGCAGCTATTGGTACATTGAGGTCCATATCCCGGTTGCTGCTTCACTGCTGCTGGAAGTTTGGGCTCCGCAATCCTACGCATTCGAGGCAGGAAATGCGGCACGACAGCAATCCGCGTTAGTACCCAAGAGTATTTAGACTTCACCTGATATTTACACCCATATGAGCAGCGCCCAAAACCCCATTGACCATTTGATCAAGTGGTTTTGCTACCTGTGTAAACCCTTATAACAATGTTGGTAGAATAAAAGCACTTTACATGCCAACCAAGAGTTGTGCCATGGGTCCCTGCATAAGCAAAGCCCTGCACGGCTTAAGCTGGACAAGCACTTTTTGCGGAAAAAATGCTGCATAAGCGCCCGTCAGAAACGCGTGAGCCTGACATGCTCACCAGCTGCCGCGAAGGCCAAAACATGGCTCGGGTAAGCAAAGCAGCGCGTGCATAATAAGCAACCTTCCGCAACAGGGATTTATGGCATGTTTGTAGAGTTTCTCAATAGGTTTCAGCGCTGCTCACATGGAAAAACGTGTCTGAAATGGAGCTATTTCGAGATATTTGGAACTACAGTGCCCAGAGTCTAATACCGAGATTGGATTTTAACTCTCTGCTGCAGCGGCACATTCGATATTTTAAGCAGTTTCGGTTTTCAGTTGTCCTTGTTGATGTGGACGATGTTTTATATATGTATAGGAGCCAAGCAGTTTTTGCTTAGCACCGCTGACATCACAGGACCCGTGCAACGCAATGTAAAGAGACTGATTTCCGCCGTGTTGTGCAATTTGACTCACCAAAGGCGAATAGCGTTCTCAATCTCAGCCTTCTTTGTCACATCGTGTTGCCCTAGGGCCAGATGAGGGTACCGGTCTTCATACCGGTAGGGTAAGGTACCTTTAGGGTGCATGATTGTTTGCCCGTCAGGAGCAGTGCTTGGGGAACACTACGACGCTGCCTTTTGCAGAGAGCTGCACTTCATTCGGGCGTTTGGCCCAGGCCGTCGAGGGTTCCCGTGTTGGAGCCCATGTGGCTATGGCTCAAAATTAAAGACCTGGGGTTACTCGTGTTTTAGTCTTGGGTTTCATTTACCAAGGCGCCATTGTGGTACCGCTTTTTTGAGCCACAGCCATGTGTTGATCGCGATGGTCTGCGAATCTGACATAGGATTGTGTAGAGAAGCTCTCGCCAGGTGGATTCGAATGAATGATGTGGCTCGAATGTGCTCATCATTCAAGTCAAGAGATGTCAAGAATGGCTCTGAGCAGTAGGTGAATTCGAATGCATGATGTCGCTCCAATGCAGGTGAAACCTGACTATGAAGGGTTTGCTCAAGAAATGTTGAAGTGACATTAATCGACCGCCAGGTCCGTGGTACTGCGCCCGACTTCGTTTTCTGGGAGCCGGAGGCGGCATTTTCTTTGGGCCTCCGGCTGGCACAAAACGGCGACCTCGCCAGCAACTCCGACGGCGGCTGGCTCGTTCAGCTTTGGGAAGAAGCTGCCGACACAAACACGCGGGGACCTCAAGCGGTCTCTGTAAATTCCCTTGGTTCTACACGTCATCTTTTGGGGTCTAAAGTCAGCTTCCTTTGGGCCTGTCCAGAGGGGAAGCATTGGCTTTGTTCACCTGGTTGATCCTCCATCCGAAAAGATGAATAGCAGCCTTAGGAGCACCGCCGATCTCGCTATCGGCCCTGCTATTGTGGTACGACGCTTGGAAGGAAAGCAGAGTCACTTCAACGTGTGGGAGCAAGAGAGACATGCAAAATGTGCCATAGGGAAGTCAGTGAAAAGCTTGACATGTAGAAGTAGACATTTACACATGCATGTACCAAACCCCTGCTTTGTGATGCTTTGTGTGCTTTGTGTGCTGTGTGTCTGTGTGTCTGTGTGTCTGTGTGTCTGTGTGTCTGTGTGTCTGTGTGTCTGTGTGTCTGTGTGTCTGTGTGTCTGTGTGTCTGTGTGTCTGTGTGTCTGTGTGTCTGTGTGTCTGTGTGTCTGTGTGTCTGTGTGTCTGTGTGTCTGTGTGTCTGTGTGTCTGTGTGTCTGTGTGTCTGTGTGCCTGTGTGTGTGTGTGTGTGAGTGTGTGTGTCTGTGTGAGTGTGTGTGTGTGGGTGGGTGGGTGGGTGGGTGGGTGGGTGGGTGGGTGGGTGGGTGTGAGTGTGAGTGTGAGTGTGAGTGTGAGTGTGGGTGTGAGTGTGAGTGTGAGTGTGAGTGTGAGTGTGAGTGTGAGCGTGAGCGTGAGCGTGAGCGTGAGCGTGAGCGTGAGCGTGAGTGTGAGTGTGAGTGTGAGTGTGAGAGTGAGTGAGTGTGTGTGTGTGAGTGTGTGAGTGTGTGAGTGTGTGAGTGTGTACTTTGGTGTGTGTGTGTGTGGGTCTCATGACGCCTGACTGCTAAGGAGACGCTGCCGCTGCATTGACTGATTCCGGGGGCTCCAAGATATTGAACACGAACGACGCTCGTGCGATGATGGCACTGAAAAGTGGTTGCTCTTCAAATCTGCAAGTAGACACAAGAGCAGTCCCCTTTTGTCTGAGTTAGCTTCGCAAACAGTGATCCCCTATAACTTACTTGCAAAGCCAACCTTTTGACCTTTTGGTTTTCTGGGTTTGGTAAATTTTTGGTCATGACCCCAAAAGGTTAACCTTGTATTTCCAGGTCCTTTGGGCAAGTGAGATAATGGTTGGTGTCCTTTGCTTTTGGTTTCCCAAACTCCAACCAAGGGCTTTCACCATTTTGAGACGGCCGCAGTTCGCGCACACTCCTCGGCTGTAGGATCGTCTGCTGGTGATTGATGACTCCTGGCTCACTGCGCGAGGAGTCCTTGTGAGCGAGAACGAAGCTGTGGCTTTGCAGCTGACCATTTCAACTGAGCCAGAATCAAAACTTGGGTAGATGAAGGTTAGTAAGGGAGAGTCCCAAACACGAATGGGTGCAGCCGCCTTGTTCATTCTTCACACGGTTCTGGGCAGACCATTTCAATACCGACCGGTTTTGATTGTGGCTCGGCTGTAGTTCTTTCGATTTTGCAGCTCACTGTGGATTACACACTGCCAGTTGACCAAGCCCGACCAGAACCTCCTTAATGGAACCAGTCCTCACGGGTCCCACTTGTTCACGACCAGCCTTTCAGTACCGTTTGAACTCACCCGAGCTCTGTTTTCACCTTGTGATTTATGTAGGACTTGCTGCTTCAAACTAGAGGGACCCTCAAAATGAGTGGTTTCCTTTTTGGTTTTTGGTTCCACGCCCAAAAAGCCGAGCCTCAAACCCCCACCCCTGCGACTGCGAGGCGGTGCTCCTCTCAGACGGCAGCTTTGGGCGGACCTCCACTTTGGCGCTGCGCAATGCGCCGGCGGACGACCGGCCACGACCCTTGGGCCGAGCTGCGCAGGAGAGACCCGCGACGGATCCGTGAGCTACTGGCGGAGAACCCGAAAAAGTGAAGATTATATACTTGGTGGTGGAGTTTCTGGCTGGGCTGGATTGTATCCTGCTCCCTTATATACAGCATGCGGCCCAGCTTTTGTTGTTTTGAGTGTACTCTGCTTGGTGGTTCATGGTGGTTCCCAGCCCTCCGGCCCCTTACCATGTGAGCCGCTTCCCAGCCTCCTGTTTCTGAGGTTTTGAGCCTTTTAGTTGGTTTAGTGGTGGGATTTCCATTTAACCCACTAAAAGTTATTCACTTTGAACAGTGAAGGCTCGCACCCAAGAAGGGGAGAAATTCCAAGGCTTTCAAGAGAAACATCAGGCCTGTATCATAAACCTTTGTCAGCGTACCAAAAATCAATAGGGGTGGGGCCTGTGGACAGAATCCATGCAGAAATACCGCACAAATTAAGACTTTTCGTTGGCATTTATGTGTGTTCCATTTTTGAGGCAAAGAATCTAAACATTGCAATTGAAGTGATACTGTGGATGGCCGAAATCCTGCACCACTTCGAACCATGGGAAACCGTTGTTTGTCGGTATTTGCAGGGAAATCATCAGAAGCCAGGGTTTCTTAGGAGGTGCGAACTGGATTTCGTGCATCCACAATAGCTTGGAACACAGAGAACAGATCCACAGTCAGGCGTTTTATTGTATTATTATTATTATTATTCTTATTATTATTATTATCATATTATTATTATTATTATTATTATTATTATTATTATTATTATTATTATTAATTATTATTATTATTATTATTAATATTATTATTATTATTATTACTATTATTATTATTACTATTATTATTATTATTATTATTATTATTATTACTATTATTATTATTACTATTATTATTATTACTATTATTATTAATATCTATTATTATTATTATTATTATTATCATTATTATTATTATTATTAGTATTATTATTATTATTATTATTATTATTATTATTATTATTATTATTATTATTAGTAGTATTAGTATTATTATTATTATTATTATTATTATTATTATTATTATTATTATTATTATTATTATTATTATTATTATTATTATTATTAATATGTATTATTATTATTATTATTATTATTATTATTATTATTATTAATATTATTATTATTATTATTATTATTATTATTATTATTATTATTATTATTATTATTATTATTATTATTATTATTATGTATTATTATTATTATCATTATTATCATTATTATTATTATTTCATTTTCCGTTTTTTTCCGTGGCATACACGGGCAGGAGCTGGTGCATCAGACGCAGCTTGAGGGCTATGATGTCGAAGGTGCGGAAATGTGTTCATCGAGAGCCACGGGTCAGTTACAACCCTTGGGGCTATTAGTGGGTGAACCGTTTTTCACGGATATAGGGATTCCTCGGCCAGTGGGTGAACCGTTTCATGGACATGTTCTGGGGATTCCTTCCGCGAGTGGATTCTCTCTCAGGTGCATTGGCTGCCATTGGCATCGGAGTGGATTATCCAAGTCACCCGGCACCTGGGCTTTTAACGTTAGTTAGCTGCTCAGCTCAGCTCGCTGACTTGACATTTCAATCGGATACAAAGGAGTGGACCGCTTTCGTCGTGGGCTGCTTGGCCCGATCTCAATATTTTTTTTGGACGAACCTTGACTGTCTTCATATGGAGTTTGACCATGGCAGCTGTGCCTCAAGAGATCTTGCGCAGGTCTTCAGATTGGCTTTGCAACTGCACTTCGTCTCACGGCGATTCGGGTTACCTCGCCGCCACACTTCACCTTCTCCTGTGATGGGACTCTTTCCTGCATTTGGTGTATCCAAGGACTTTGTTGCGCCCATGGAGTGCAGTGGCGAACACTACCCCAAAAAAGTCTGTCCAAAGACCAAACATATTTTCGCACCATGGCACATGTCCCAAGATTATAATCCCTAGATGTACTGCAACCTGCCGAATCGAGCTGTTGGTTGGAAGTCCAAATTTGCTTCTACTTCAAGACAGGGAGCTAAGGAGCTACCAGGAGGTGTGTAAAGACATGGTAGGAATGGATCTCCCCGAAGGGTTCAGGTTGTGCTACCTGGGATGGTCTGGGTCTTGGATCTTTTGCTCAGGGCATAGGCACCCATCCTTTTCCATTGCGGCAACCATGGCCATAGAGGACCAAAGCAAAACTGCCCGAACCTGTTGTTGGGAACAGGTTGTCGGAAATGCGAGGCATTGTATCGCCAAACCTTCACGATGGAGTCCACCCCGAAACCATTCCCAGAGGAAAATGGGTTTCTACCCTTGGTATAGTGGCTACAAAGTGCTTGTATAGGACATTAAGCCCCTGAAATGTGAGTGTCGATTTGGGGTAGTGGCCATCTTATACCAACCTAAATCAGCCCAAAGAGCATGCGAGGATCGAGCCGGGCAATACAAGACTGCTTGCGAGTGGCACCGCTCCGCCATGCCGAGTCATTGTGCCTCTCGGCCTCAGGTAGGTTTCTTTGAGCAATATGGCTATGACTTTGATTGGTTGGAACCCCCTGAAAAGTGGTTGGTGGACAAAAACCCCTGAATTCTGATGTCCATTTCGGGTCCCTAATTAAAATTCACCCATATGTCCAAGAGTAGAACACTGAGAGTCATTTACACCAGCACCCCCCAACCACTGCTTCTTGGACAGTACTTGGGATCTGCGACGGGAAAAAGCAGTGGTTGTGGGGTGTGCTGGCACTTGGGCAATTTTTTTTATGTATCACGTCGGCCACTCAGCAACCGAAGCTGTTTGCACGGAGGAGTCCTTTCGAATCTGCTTTGCAGCTGGAGAATCCATATCTTGGAGGACCATCTGGATACTCCGCAGGCGCTCACTCCATTTTTGCCCTTGCGCCCTGTTTGGAAGGCTTCGTGTTGTTTTTGTTGGTGGCGTTTGTGGCTTGACAGGTATGCACTGGTGGTTTGGAGGCCAGATGCAAGTATTTCCTCCATCTGGATGGCACGAAGAAAGACAGAGCTGGGCTGTTGAACTCGCAGGAGAGCGCGGCGTCTCGCTTGGAGCAGTTTGGGTGTGTCGTCTTGTTTTGGCCGCCCACCTATTTTCAGGGTTTTTAAGACAAACCCTTTGCTTTCGGGGTCGAGCTGGCACTTGCGCTCGACACTCCAGGATTTCCACGAGTTTTTAGTTGCTTTCTCTGAGATGGCAAAAGCATCCTGATTGCTGGGGCGATTCTGGAGCCACCTCCCATGATGGTACCGGCAGCAGAGTCGGGGGTGTAATTGTTGGGTCTTGGGATGAGGTGACTTGCGCCTGGACATCCACCCGCGGCGCAGCCCCAGCCTTGAGGACAAATGGCTCTTGGCCTTTGAGGTCCTCCCCACTTTGACAGGCGGGAAATTGACGTGGCTTCGTTGCCGCCGCACATGGCCCAACATCAATTTGCATGCTTCAACCCCGGCTATGCCTAGCATGTGTTTCACCCTGCAAACGAGACTCACAATCTTGAGAAGCTCGAGGAACGAGTATGTCAGCGCGTTAGGATGGATGCCGGCCAGCGCAGCAAGCCATTTTGAGCCGAGAGCGCGAGGTACTGGCGACACGACCTTCGTTGATTTGCGCTTCGCGATCCGATTTTTCGATGCAGCCGATGACACCCTGCCCGTACCACCACAGGACTGAAGGCAAATTTGGTCGGTCTGACGCCCTTATGTGCGTGTCTTTTTAGGGGAGTCCCTAAAATTGTGTTCCGTTTGGTTTCCCTTGAACATGACCAAACCAAGGTACCCTCAAAAATAAACACCTCCTGATTTCAACACGGGCTTTCTGAGAGGCGACCACAGGTTTGGGGTGAGACCTTGGACCTAGGGTTCCCCCAGGCCGAGCCGTTTTTCTCGCCGAAGCTGTTTGGACGGACTCAGGAGCTGTGGGATCCGGCCACTGGGAACCTTCCACTGGTCCTCCGAGGACCACGCAGCGTCCCTTTCGACCGCGCACAGTTTTCCCGAGGCCGGGTGTCTGGAAGCTTCCAGATTCTGGGGACGGGTCAAGGCCAAAAAGCTTCAAACACATTTTGGCCCCCCAAAACTTCCTGACCTTCGGGGGGGGGGGGGGGTTGTTAAGACGGGGTCAACATTGCCCATTGAATTCGGAGCTGCAGTTCAGGTCGGGTTCTAACAAAATGGTTCCAGCTTGCGCCAAAGGTCGATCATGAGTAGAGCCCATTTCTTAGAACTTCAATGGGTGACCCAAGCAATTGGTGGGTTCTTCGCGGTTTGGTCTGATCGATCGAGGCAGCTGCATAGACGCTGGCGACGATCTTCTCTTTCCAGATGACACATATCTTGGGCGTCCGCCAGCTACATGCACAGCTCTGAGATTGGAGCAGCGGGTGCAGGCAGGGCTTGGGCCAGTTGACTCATTTGTGCGGGTCGCCATGGGTCGCCATGGTCGCCATGGGTCGCCAGGGCCGGGAACTCCTCGAGTTCCGAGCGTTCCGGGGACGGGTTCCAAGACGTGAGGGTTTTTGGAGGGCTGCGGATCACGTTGCAGCGGCCATTACCTCAGCTCAAGAAACCAACAAAATAGAAAACTGGGGTCCTATCTTATTATTCCATGCTAATGTATTCAAGGCGTGCGCGTGTTGGTTTGAGGCTTCCGGAAGGTTTTCAGAAAGGTTTCGGGTTTCGGGTTCGGTTGCCGGGCTGCCGGACAGGGTGCGTTCCGCAAGGTCAGGGTTCCTTTCAGCCGTTGCTGGATAGAATTCCGAAGCTCCACAACTCCGGGTGCTTGAAGGGTTCTGTTGCCTGTCGGGATACCACCCACGGAGCCTCAAAAGCATGAATTCCCGCAAGTGTCCGCCATTTAAAGTTCAACAAACTGTCCCCCGATTATCCCCTATTGAAATTCGCAAAGGGTCCCTATCTCCCACCTATTTGATGTCCCCCGAATATCCTCCAAGACCATGGTGTGGGTCTAGATCCCGTCGCCAGTCCTTGGCCGAGCGAGCCGCATCCGGAGCTACGCCGCGCCAGCTGCAGGGAAGCATTCGGGCAGCCATCGTGCTTCCCAGAAACTGCAGGCCGAGCAGCCGGGTACCTCCCAGTTCACTCGGAACTTGATAGGGACCCGGTCCCTTAGGGAAAAACGGGTCTAGGACCCCCCATCAGGTTCCATGTTGGGAGGGACACAACTTGCTGCCCTGCAGATTTGGCTGAAGCTTCCATTTGCAGACCTTGAATAAGCAACAAATGCTTGGAAAACGATGGGGGGCTCACAAAGAACGCCCTTACATCATCAGACGTGGCTTGCGCAGCTGCTTGCAGTTTTTGTTTATTTGTAGCAACCACTCAGATTTTAGAAGATAACACTGCGTTCGAACAATACCCGAACGATTCCCCAAGAAATGTCCTGAGACCCTTTGGGCAGCCACTCCAGCGGGAGAGCTGCCAGAATTGTCTTTGTGTACCGCCGCTCTGTTGGAAGTTGGCTGTCTTTGCCAACACGAGCTGCTCAAAAAAATGTACATTCCATTTATCTACTGTACGCTCGCACTGAAACATGTTTTTTTTCAAGGTGGATCTGTCAAAGTCCGTTTTGCGCATCGCGTTGCTAGCTGGAGCTCTAAAGTGCATTGTTCTGGAAAGCTGAGATTTTGAGCTGGAGCTGCCAAAGTCTACTAAAAAGAACACGAGTTTGGCAAAGTTTCGACCGTGGCTCATATCCGCCCTTTTGATTCTTTACCATGCCTTTTGCTTGCTCCCTACATTTCCGAAAATGGCGCTTTGAACCATCACCTTGACTCATGTCAGGTGAGTTCCCCCCGAGAGGCCAGGTTGCAAGGAGCAAAACGGAGGTCGACTCCTGAGTGCCAGGCCGCCGATGCCCTCCTGCGCGGACTTCTTTGAGCTGAAGCTGGGTCAGGCCGCTGCGCTGGCCTTTTTTTCGGTCAGCACGAGGTTGTTCGTATGGCAAATTGCATAGGTGTGGCCAAATGGTTTGGGTCAAAATGATACCACAGGCCTTAGTTCTTGCTTCCAGTTGCCTGGGCTTCATGTTGGGTGCCATGGACCCCTCCGTCCATATGGCATGCCAGTTACATGCGTTTGCTCTTGGGCTTTCAAGGCCACAAGGCCCAGGCCTGGGGTTTCTACTTCTGAGACCCCGACTGAAGGAGTCGCTCTTCAGTCGCAGCAACGGCCTCTCGGAGCAGCTGAAAGCTGGCAGCATCGGGGTGGAGCAAGGTGCTTCCCAGGCGCTCGCCTCGCACGCCCGCCTGAGGGAATGAACCCCCAAAAACCCATCCCCGATTTGGCAGGGGGGCCCTTAAAGAAATGAATGGAGGGAAGGGGGTCCAGAAAGAATCAAGTGTGTTCAATCCCTTGAAGGGAATGCTTAGGTTCATTCCCAACACCTGGGTCATTCCCCTTCGCACGGTGTTTTGCCGGTTTGGGAATAAAGTGAAACCTCGAATTCGGGGCGGTGTGCATAAGTTGGGAGCTCGATTTTTTCCGGACAACCATGACTGATGTTGATTTCGCAGGCCAAGAAATTCCCAGCTTGCCTTCTTGGACTATTGCTACTCGGAGTCTAGGCGTGGCGCTGAGACTCTGAGCACTGCGCATTGTCATTGCTCACCTGTGATTTCAATGGTTGCCACCAGATAGAACTCTTTGGTCACAATATGGGGCGTGCCCAAAGATTGAAGCCCGTTCCGGGAACATGTCTCAAGGCCAATCATGCAGCCAACCCCCATCTTCACTTCCGAACCCCCAGTCTTGCAGGCTCAGCGGACGAGCCTTCGCAAGATGAACTCCCGGAGACCGACCTTCGCCCGAGTTCTCAGCGCACGGATGCTCGACACACGCATCCCGCCATCCCGCTTCGAAGCCTGCGACATGCGACCCAGCACCAGGGCTCAATGCAACGACCTGGGATCTCGAACAGCCCCACTTGATTCACATTGCGATTCAAAGATGAAAAGCGGAATGTATTTGGAGACTACGGTTTTAGAACTTGATCTCTCGAACATGATTTCCAACAACTGGCCGCGCTTCTTATATCGACCCAGAACCAATGTGTTCAACAATTGATTCGATGAAGAATTTAAGTTCATAAGTATGAATTAGAGCCGGCAAAATCGATAAGTTGTGGTTGTCATTGTTTGTTTCTTAAACAAAAACACAAGGGGGAACACATACGTACATATAGGTGTGTTAATGTTATATATATATATATTAGTGTTGTGTATGTTATTTATACGTTTGTATTATATATTTATATATTATATGTGCTTTGTGAATTGTCTACTTGTTTGGGTTGTTTTTGTTGTTTGTTATTTATTTGTTAATATGTATTATGAGTTGTTTGATGTGTTTTTGTATGTTGTGAGGGATTTATTATTTTTATTATTGTTAGTAGGAATAGTAGTAGTAGTAGTAGTAGTAGTAGTAGTAGTAGTAGTAGTAGTAGTAGTAGTAGTAGTAGTAGTAGTAGTAGTAATAGTAATAGCAGTAGCAGTAACAGTAGCAGTAGCAGTAGTAGTAGTCGTAGTCGTAGCCGTAGTGGTAGTCGTAGTAGTAGTAGTAGTAGTAGTAGTAGTAGTAGTAGTAGTAGTAGTAGTATTTGTTTTAGTTATTGGTGGGATATGTTTGTTTTGTGTATATTAGTTATTCGCGTTTAGATATATATATATATATACATATTATACGTGTAAATGTTTAGATATATATATATATATATACATAGGTATTTATATGAAGGTATATGGGATATATTATATTGTATATGTATATAATAGTATTGCTTTTGTTTGTGTAGGATTTATAGTTTATTTAATTATAGTTTTTGATTTTGTTTATGTTTGTTTAAATATTTATTTGAGCAACATGATAGGATGGGTTAGTGCTGAATATGGGAGAGGAGAATAATTATATTTTATATTTATTGATTTTGTTTTCGAATGAATATTTTTAATTCTATTTTTGAAGGTAAATTAATGTATTATACAGAATGGTATCTAATTTTGTATATTCTCCTATAAACCGGTGCGTCCTCGGGGTCGCGTTTCCCCGTGCACCGTGCATCGCTCGCAGAGCCGCTGCAGCGGTACTCCGGCCGAATCGTCGTGCGGCGAGCGGTTGTGCCCGTCCCGGTCCTTTCTCCGCGGCACAAGCTCCCGCCGCTTAGCGCAGACCGGAAGTCCGATTTTTTTCCGATTTTGGGGGGTTCGCTCGCGGGCGGCATAACCCGGCCAAATTTGCCCGGGTCGGGAAGCGACCCGGCTCTTAGATCTTTAGACGTTACCCCCGCAAATTTGCGCAGAATTTGGCGACTTTCCGAAAAAAATAACAGGTCAAATTTTCGGGAAATTTCGGTCCGGGTTGAAATTTCTCGAATATTTCAGGCATTGCCCTCTTTCCTTCTTTCCCGCTTTCCCTCTTTCTCTCTTTCCCTCTTTCCCTCTTTCCCTGTTTCCCTGTTTCCCTGTTTCTCTGTTTCCCTGTTTCCCTGTTTCCCTGTTTCCCTGTTTCCCTGTTTCCCTGTCTCCCTCTTTCCCTCTTTCCCTCTTTCCCTCTTTCCCTCTTTCCCTCTTTCCTTCTTCCCTGTTTCCCTCTTTCCCTCTTTCCCTCTTTCCCGCTTTCTCTCTTTCTCTCTTTCTCTCTCTCTCTGTTTCTCTGTCTCTCTGTCTCTCTGTCTCTCTGTCTCTATCTCTCTGTTCCCTGTCTGTCTCTCTGTCTGTCTGCGTGTTTCTGTCTGTCTGTCTGTTTGTTTCTGTCTGTGTGTTTGTTTCTGTCTGTCTGTCTTTGTTTGTCTGTTTGTCTTTGTCTGTTTGTTTGTTTGTTTTTGTCTGTCTGTTTGTTTGTTTCTGTTTGTCTTTCTGTTTGTTTCTGTTTGTCTTTGTCTGTCTCTGTTTGTCTCTGCCTGTCTTTGTTTGTTTTTGTTTGTCTTTGTCTGTTTTTGTTTGTGTTTGTTCATGGTTGGTTGTGTTTATTTGTGTTTGTTTGTGTTTGTTTGTTTTTGTTTGTTTGTGTTTATTTGTTTGTTTGTGTGTTTGTGTTTTTTGTTTGTGGTTATTTGTTCGTTTGTTGTTGTTTATTTGTTGTTGGTTGTTTGTCGTTGGTGGGTTGTTGTTGATTTTTTATTATTATGTGTGTATTGTTGTTTATTTTTTGTTTTGTTTTTTGTTGTTTATTTGTTTTGTTTGTTATTATTTGCTTGTTGTTGTTTGATATTGTTATTTGTTGTTGTTTATTTATTGTTATTTGTTTAGTATTATTTGTTTGTTATTATTTGATTGTTATTATTTATATTATTATAATTTATTGTTATTTAATTAATATAATATATTTATTATATGTGTATTATTTATAATAAATAAATTTATTGTTATTTATTATTTAAATATTATTATATGTTTATATATATATATTTGATTTATATAGGGCTTTAATATTATAATATAAAAATTGAAAAATATATAAAACAATAAATATTATTATAATTATTATTAATAATTTTTATAATGAAAATAAATATTAGGAATAATTTAATGATATTTAATTATAATATTCTTGATAATAATAAAACAATAATTGTGATAATATTTATTATTAAAACCAGAAAGGATTAGGATGATATAATAAATTTTGTAGTTTATTTTTGATTGGGATATATTGTAATTGTTGTATTTGTAATATTGATGGTAGAATAAATTATTATATATATTGAAATTTGATGATATTGTTTTGTTTTGGGTTGGATGGTATGAGAATTAAAAATAATTTATTTTTGTTTAGATTTTTGTATTTTATTTGGTGTTAAATTTATTAAATTTGAAAGTATTGAAACATTTAATTTTTACAAATATATTTATATTTATTTAAATTAAATAATTTATAATATATATAATAAACACTTCGATTAAGCAATTACGTATAATTGCTTCCGTAAAAGGATTGGTGAGTAGCCTAAATCTTTAAATCGAGCTGATCGAAGACATTAACCACAAAAATCGGAAAATAAATCTTGCCTAATTATAATTTAGCGTTACTTTAGACACGGAGATTATTTCTAAAAACGACAAAAATGCTCGAGAATTTCGATCCAAAAGATATAAATTCCTTATAATTTAAGGAATAATAATTTTACTAATCATAAAACTAAGAGAAAAAATCGAAAAGGTTATCGTCATATATTAGAAATGATCGAACTCATCGAAAGCACTAAACAAAGCTAAGGAAACTAGCTTATTATCCTTGGAACACACCTCCAAAATCACCTATTTATGCGGCCGAACGCCACTTCCCGATACCTTTCATATGCCAAGTGATGATTTCTCTACAATTCAAATAAGATTCGGATTTTAAATTGGGTCTATATAGTCTTAAGACATAGAGCACGTTTTTCATCCATCACGAAGGAGTCGTTTTCCCTCGGCATCCAATTTACCCATATTTTCCTAAATCAGAGGCTCGTAACCAATATTTTGAGTCATATATCGAGTCTACAAATCGTCATAAGTGCGTTTATGTTCGGCATATTGCCGTGCTGCTGCCAGTGTTTTTTATGCCGCCATTTAGGGCAACCACGGAAAACGACGCCAAAAAGATTAAAGGATTTGCGGAACTCTTATCACCAGAACATCCATAGGTTTTATCCGGGAATTTGTGGGCAATAGGTTCATAGGTTTTAACGAGGGTCGTACACCACTCTGCAAGGTTAATTTAAACATAGCGTTTTTCAAAATCGTGTGCGTAGCCTATTTGTGTCCATGTCCCATATAATGGAAAAACATAATGTCCGAAAATATCCAAATTTTGGTGGCAAAAAGAATATGCCTCACCCGGTGCAAAACATGGAACTCCCAGCCGCATAAAAACAATATCTTAAAATATAGCGTTGGTGAGTAACAAATTCTGAACCAGAGCGGGGCGTGCCCGAAGCCAATCATCTACTCCTGAGACAACAAAAGTGCGCAATCACACTTGTTCCATTCCATCCACTTACTCCATAAACGAATCATTTTAGAATAAACAATTACTAACAAGGTAATTTATTATATCTCTATTCTCGGATCCTACAGACCAAGGGCATCACGAGGCAAAAACACATAACATATTAAAGGGTCTAAGCTTCATACGGAATAAAAATCCAAAATGGTTTGTACAAGCACTTGCGCTTTGACGCCATGTAAGCAAGATCCACCAGGTAAACGTTCTCCAAGCCAGATTTCGGCTCGCGGACTAAGAAATCCAAGTCCTCCTTGCTTAGTAAACAATTTGGCTTGCGACCACTGGGTTCGAATCAAAACAATACCAAAATATAATTCCAAACATTTTTTCATTCGATCATAGAAGCAATCCAAACATAGTCCAATCAATGCGATACAAATATTATATCTTGTTAAAAAACAGCACTACTCTGCATAAAATGGAAAGCAACATACTTACGCAACAAGCTTTCTATCGCATTTTTTATTCTTCTTAATTTCTTAATTCTTCTATGAATGGAAATTATAAGAAAAAAATCCGTCGATCCCGCAACAAGCGCTTTAAGCATGAGCGCATCATAACCAATAATTACAATAACTCC